TTGGGAAAATGGGGCTCAGGGATCAAAATAACGGCAAGAAAATAGGGATCAATGGGTCCCGGATATACCATGTTACGACCCTGTTATTATGTAAATCATGTCTTTTTTATGTTAACTAGTATTTTTTAAGCAAGATTTACATTATAAGAGGAATGAGGTTTGTATCAAAACACTCTCAAAGGCCAGGGCACCAAGCCCACAACTGTAAACTGTGTAAAATGGTCTATTTGAGGAAAATCACATAATTGTAAAAAAAATGCTGAATTCAAGGAAAGTAAATAATAAATTCTAACTTTAATCAAACATTTTCCCAATCTTAATGTTACGTAAGGTGATTTACCACTAAAGAAAGCCTTGCAAGACATCTGAAACCTTCGATTGCGGTATCTGGGCAGCCATTTTGATTTCAGAGACAAGTAGTGTGGTCAGCGGTGTAATGGCGTCATGTAATATTGAACAAGTGTCCTTTTTCTTTCTTTCTATTTGTTTTCTTTTCCGGGTCAAGAAAATTGGACAAATTTAACTATTTTGTTTTAAAATAGATGCTATACTATTCTTTTACATTCACATTGCCTGTTAAACAACATTAAAGTGATTTTTCTCCTTAATTAGCCCTGAAAAAATCACATAATTTATAGCATAATAGTCCTACCTTATCACAAAATCTACCCTGAAAATATCACCCAATTTCGATTTTTTATCGCATCCTATCAGATGGGCTGTAAAATCCAAAAACAGATTTATTGATCCAAATGATCCACAACAGAGGTGAATTCTATGGAGACTACTGTGTCTCTGTTTTACAAACAGCCAGTATTAATGCATTGTGTTCTCTGTGATTTCAAAACAACTTACACTAATTAATTTACTTTATTATATAAACACCAATGAAATACCAGGTGAGCTTTCGAGCGAAAACATGGTATCTTCTCATGTGAAAGGATAACCATTGCTATGGTTACATAATAAATCACGCCTTTTGCAGCAAAAAAACAATTTAAGTGAAATGATCTGGCATTGCATTGGTGTTTATATAACAATAGAACTTTACATGGCCGCTTGGAGAAACGAATTTTTTTGTTTGTTTCGTATCTCCGTGCGGCCATGTAAAATCCTCTATATCTTGAAATGAATATAAGAAAAAATGAACATCTTTTGTTATTTATTTTTTAATGATTCATACTAAAGTTAAAATTTGTTAATATGTAGTAAAACAAATCTAACTCACCTGTCAGATTGCACGAAGGCTGAAATGAGCTTCTTTCCAGTTAGATTTCATTATTACATTCTTCAAGTAAATGCCCACTTTCCCAATTTTGTGTAGTTTCCGATTAAAAAGTGAAACATAGGGCCGGACTTAAATGATCAAATCACATTTTACCACCCAGGTCACATTACCATACCAAGCTATACCAAAAGCGTATTGCTCGATCAGTTAACCTTTCACATTTCAAGGTGCGACTATAGCGTGTGTGTTGCAACAAATGGGAGAAATCTTTTTTCACTGAGAATGCAGGTAAGTTAAATCCAGTAGGGTCGCTGTCAAGATTGCCTAGTTTAGTACGTAATGGATGGGTTTTCTTATCTCCATAACAATCATTATTGTTGAGGTATACATTTAAGTTTGAATCTTCTACACTGAAGTGGGATTCACTGGATCGCTGGGGTTGTTTCCGAAATTTTTTTTGAATTCCAAAGGATAAAATTTCTGTTAACTTGATTCATACAAACGTACAAAGAAGTATTGTAATTTTATTTTAATAGCTAAAAGTCAAGGCCTGAATCGGTCTTTCTCTCCGCAGGGATTTCGCCCAGAAGGCGAAATCCCAAGAAGGCATTCTAGTAACTCGGGCGTATGTAAAGGAAAGTACGTACAGTTAAACTTGTAGTTTCCAATGGAAAGTGAAGTGCTGCGAGTAACGCATGACATTTCAAATAGTTTGAATCAGTGGCAATTTCTTTCGATTTTTGATATTGACATTAACAGTGTCAAATAACTGTGCATGTAACGCGGCACGACACGTAGGTGAAAAAAGTGTGTGTATCAAGCTAAAACTGTATAAAAGTCCGTGAGAATTCATCAGCGTATTATTTGTCTGAAACCTGTCCACGATAAGGTTTAGAGCACGCGAGCGAACGAGTGAATTTCCAATCGAGTTCAATATTAAACTGGTTCACTGACGCTTCGCGAGCGTATCAAATCATTTTCATTTAACTAAAGCAATTTATCAGTTAAGCTTAAATAAATACAACAAAACCTGGCTGAATACAAATTTGCCCAAAACACCGAATTTGTTTACCGTAGAGTTTCAGTAATTGCTTCAAATATTCTGAGAAACGTATCGCTTCAAGTCACGGGAAAGTCATAGTTCGATACTCTTATGCGTTACGTGTGTGTTCACTGACTTTCTGTGGAGCAGCTTTGTTAAAAGTATTAAGGGAAAACTGAAATTTTTTATTTCTTTGTCTCTTCTTCCTCTCTTAAACAAGCATCAAAACCTCACAGACCGCGAAAGAGAAATTCTCGTGTTTGACCGAAATTATGGACCTAAAGTAGAGTGTAACTTACGTTTTAGTGGCGTATAACTGTGTATAAGCACTTGGAGGATTTCCCAGACACGAGTTTATCATTCACAAATCTTTGATTGGAAACGATTTTTAAAATTTGTCAGACAGAAATGACTATGGGGCCTTGAAAGTAAGACTCCGTCCAAACAAACAAGCAAGTTTCCTGAGCGAACGAGTCAATCAAGCTAACTTATCAGCAGAACGATGGACGCTTACAATAGCCTGCGAGCAGAGGCTACATTTTCGCAGATACAGAGCGGGGGCAGCTGTAGTGTCAACTATTTAACAATTATTCCTCGAGCCCGAATGCGGCTCTGAGTCAATAGTCCATGAGGCCGAAGGCCGAATGGGCTATTGACTCATAGGCCATGAGGGCGACAGGAATAATTGTTTTAGTAAAACCCAACTAGTAGGTCAAAAATATCCAGAACAAAAAAATTTTAGCTATAGTTAAAGCTAGACTTTAATCCCTTGCCGCCAAAAAGCCTGCGCTTTTCGCTACTAGGGGGCTATAACATATAGCCCAGTAGTAGCTCAGCCAATCAGAACGCAGCATTGATAATAGACCACTAGTTGGATTTTACTAATACTAGTTAGTACAGTAGTAGCAGTGGAAAGGGAGGGATCCGCAAATGTTTGATCGCGCGTCCATTAAAACTGTTTTACAGCTAAAAAAAGTCCACCCCTGTACATTGTTTTTTTTAGTAAACTTCAACTACGTAAATTATTACTGCTGTGGTGCTTATAGTAGAATCATATGTCTGAAATTCTACTTTTAGTCTACAGTTGCTTTGAAGCAGTCATGCTTCCCTTTCAGTTTCTTGAGGAGATGATGTAAATTACTGGAAGATTTCGTTTACATGGCAAAGCTAATTCAGTGTTTAGGGTATTCGTTTTCACATTTCAGCTTTGTTAGCTTTGATTTTGAGAGTTGATTAAAAATGACTGAAAACGGGAAATTTAAAACCGAAAATGGCTGATCATCATGTCCATTTATGGTGCATCAATTTGAAAAGACAGTGGAACTCCCCTCAGACAGCCCAAAGGGAGGATCTACATCTCACTTTTTTCTATTTTATCACTAAGTCCGTAATAAAAATTTTCCTTAGCCCCAAAGGGGTGATAGAAACCTGTATTGAAAATATCAACGATAAAATTAATGCGTGAATTTCTAAAAAGTAGTGCTCTCTAGATTATATGTCTAATGTTGCTTGAAAAACGACACGGATGGCAATCAGCCTTAGCTGTCTTTTCGACAGGTGGTTAATATTGATTGCAAAACGTTGTAGCGCACTCTTAAGTAACTTACTATATTAAGGGGCATAAGTGACTGCTTGAATTGTTACAATCGCTGTTCAAGTGTTTATTTCAGAGTAAGAGGAAAGTTGCTCAGGTGGATGAAATAAGGCGATGTCTTGCTACGTTTTCTAATTATAATAAACCATTTACATGATTTCAGGAACGAACGCCTCCGCAAAACAAAGTCTGTTCGTGAAGGCCATCGCTTGGTGCAATACAGGATAAGCAGTATCTTTTTTTAACGTTATGGTTATTACTCTAGGTAATAGCATGATTAGTAGTGATATTTGGCATAAATACCACGAGTGATTTTTCAAAACTGTTTTACGTAATTTCACGGGCCGTTAGGCGAGTGAAATTTGAGACAAGTTTTTTAAAATGTCACGAGTGGTATTTACGCGAAATATCACGTACAAACCATGCTACTATTTGTTTATTCTACTACCCGCAAACGGTTTGTAATTTTCACATAAGCCAATCAAATTGCAGTAGTTTGTCATGTAGTAGTATAAACCCTTCAATTCCGCCAGTCACATACAAATTATCCACACTGGTCTCCAAACATTTCCGTGATAAATTATTTGAGAGAATTTATTTTAAGATCAAAGCATTTTCCCTTAGGTGGTCTCTTTTGAGTTGACAAAATGAGCATTCGATTCTGCAGAGATAAAGTTGAACGCTTGAACAGTGTGCCTTAGGTTTATGAATGGGTAGAATAGATAGGAACAGTGGTTACGTCACGTTGCCATGGTACCAAAACTTCTGCATCTCAACAAACTGTGGTCCTGCAAATATGGCAGAAAAACGAAAAAAAAAAAGACATGTATGACTTCCCCGTGCATGATTGCACTCAGGATCAAAATAGTAGCCCATACTTTTCTTCCATTATGCGACAATGCAAATGGCCGTCTCTGTCAAGAAAGATTGTGGAGATCAGTCCAGAAATTTTGCTACCATGGTAACGTCAGGTCGCACTCCTCTTCTATATTAGGCGATAAATCATCAGCTACGTACTTTGTCAAGGGAAAAAAAATGCATTTAAAATATCACTTACGTCCTTAACAATTTATCAAGACTGAAAATAAATTATGGATCCTGAAGGATATATCAACCTTGGCGATACCTCTCAATCTGAAGGTAATTTCAAACAAGCAATCGGGTTTTATCAGCGTGCACTTTCTACCGCAAAAGAGATTGGAGACAAACAGTCAGAAGGGATTGCTTATCACTACCTTGGCAACGCCTATCATTCTCTCAATGACTTCAAAAAAGAAATCGAAAACCATCAGCAGGCTCTCATCATCGCGAAAGAGATTCAAGATAAAAGCCTTGAAGGAGTTGTTTATTGCAGCCTTGGCAATGCTTATCACCTTCTCAGTGATTTTAAAACAGCAATCGTGTTTCATCACCAGGCTCTTGGCATCGCAGAAGAAATTGAAGACAAACAATTAGAAGGAAGTGCATGCATCAGCCTTTTCAATGCCTATCGTTCTTCAGGTGATCTAAAAACGGCAATCGATTTCTATCAGCTGGCCCTACGCATCGCCGAAAGGAAAGGCATCAAGGATTTCGAAGGAAAGGCATATGTCAATCTTGAGAGTGAACATCTCTGTCTTGAAGATGTCGAGAAAGCCGTAGCCTTCCATAAACTGGGCCTTACTACTGCAAAAGAGATTGGAGACAAAGATTCAGAAGCAAAGGCATATAACAACCTTGGTCTTGGATGTCACTCTCTCGGTGAATTCAATAACTCAATCGAGTTTTATGAGCAGGCTCTAAGTATTGCCAAAGTGATCGGAAACAAAGATCTAGAAGGAAGTATATACTCTAACCTTGGCATGACTCATAAGTACCTCGGAAATTTCAAGAAAACAATTGAGCTCAACGAACAAGCTCGTGGTATTGCTGAAGAAATTGGAGACAAAGATTCAGAGGGAAGGGCGCATATCAATGTTGGCAGTGCCTATCATTCTCTGGGCGATCTGAAAAAGGCGATCAAGTTTCTTCAGCTGGGTCTTAGTATCGCAAGAGAGGCTGGCAACAAAGAATCAGAAGGAGCTGCAAGTAACAACCTTGGTAATGCACATCTCTCTCTCGGTGATTTAGAAAGCGCATTCGAGTATTTTAAACAAGCTCGCAGTATCGCAACAATGATTGGTCACAAAGATTTAGAAGGAAATTCGCATAACAACCTTGGTAGTGCGTATCACTCTGTCGGTAATTATACCAAGGCAATCGAGTGCAGTCAGCAAGCTCTTAGTATCGCGAAAAAGATTGGAAAAAAAGATGCAGAAGCAAATGCATATAATAACCTTGCCAATGCCTATCACTGTCTCGGTAAATTTAAAGACGCAATCGAGTATTATCGGCAATTTAGTGATATGGCAAAAGAGATTGGAGACCATGATTCAGAAGGAAATGCGTATAATAACCTTGGTAATGCCTATCACAATCTCGGTGATTTTAAAAAGGCAATTGACTTCCACCAACAAAGTCTTAAGATCGCACAAGATATTGGAAAAATAGATTTAGAAGGAAAAGTACATAACAACCTTGGAAACGCCTATCAGTGTCTTGGTGATTCACAAGAGGCAATTAGGTGTTATAAGCGAGCTATAAGTATCGCCAAGAAGACTGGAAACAAAGAAACTGAAGGATGTGCAACTGGGAATCCTGGGTATGTTTATTACTCTCTCGGTGATTTGGAAAACGCAATGGAGTTTTACCAAGAAGCTCTTAGTATCGTGAAAGAGATTGGACACAAAGATTCAGTAGGAGTTGTGTACAACAACCTTGGTCTTGCGCATCAATACCTCGGTGACAATAAAGAAGCAATGGGGTTCCACCAGAAAGCTCTTACTATCGCAAAAGAGACTGGAAAAAAAGATTCAGAAGGAGAAGCATTTAAAAGCCTTGGAAATGCCTATCACTTTCTTCATGATTTCGAAAGAACAATCGAGTTCCACCAGGAAGCTGTTAGTATCGCAAAACGGTCCGGAAAAAAGGATTCCGAAAAAGAAGCATATGAGAATCTGGGTATTGCCTTTCAGTCTCTCGGTGACTTTTCTAGAGCTGAGGAATTTTTCAAACGCAGTATAAAACTATTCGAGGAAATAAGAGTTCTTCTCCAAGAGAAAGACGAATGGAAAATCAGCTTTCGGAGTCAATTTGAGGTGTACAATTTTTTGTGCAGTCTTCAAATACAACAAGGCAAGACAACCGAGGCGCTTTCCACAGCTGAGTGGGGGCGAGCGCAAGCCCTCGCGGACCTCATGGAATCACATTATGGGGTAAACTCAACTCTGTCATTCTCAGAAGAGCAGAGGGAACAAATGTCAAGCATTTCAAGCCATAGTTTATCACCTACGGTATTCCTCTGGGAAGTCTCCGGATCAGTGAATTTCTGGGTACTACTGAAGGGGCAGCAGTGCCAGTTCGCGAGAGAGAAATTCAATGACAACTTGACATCTTTGACGCACAAAATGTACAAACAAATTGGTGTTTTCAAACCTGTCATGTGCGAAGACCGCTCCATGGATGATCCTGCAGATGAAGGACGCCAAGAATTATCTCTTTGTAGGGGTCCAGATGAGAAAACAGATACACATGATACACAGGATGAGGGATCTGTTTCAAAAACATTATATGACGTGGTTATTGCTCCCATTTTACAATATATAAAAGGAAATGAGCTTATCATTGTTCCTGATAGTTCATCGTTCTTGATTCCTTATGCTGCCCTAATGGATCAACATTCCAGGTATTTGTCTGAAACGCTAAGAATTCGATTGGCTCCATCACTAACCAGCTTAAGGCTGCTAGCAGAGTGTCCGGAGGGGTACCATAGTTCGTCCGGTGCTCTTCTTGTCGGTAATCCGTGGGTGGAAACTGTACGCATCAAAGGCAAAAAAATCCAGCAACTTTCGAGTTCCGAGGAGGAAGTACAAATGATTGGAAAGATGCTGAATATTGAGCCTCTCACTGGAAAAAACGCTACAAAAGACCAAGTGTTAAGCATGCTTCACTCAGTTTCCTTAGTACACATTGCAGCTCATGGTCGCGCAGAAACTGGTCAAATTCTTTTGTCTCCTAGTCTTGCTAGTTCAGAAACGCCCAAAGAAAAAGACTTCCTTCTGACGATGGCAGACGTGTTGAGTAAAAAGTTGCAGGCCAAGCTTGTTGTCTTGAGCTGTTGTCACAGTGGGCGAGGAAAGATCAAAGCCGAAGGTGTGGTTGGAATTGCACGTGCCTTTTTAGGAGCCGGTGCTCGTTCTGTTATTGCGTCACTGTGGGCGATTGAGGACAAAGCAACTATGGAGTTTATGACAAACTTTTACAAACATTTCGTGGCAGGGCAAAGCGCAAGTGAGTCCCTCAATCTGACCATGAAACAAATGCGGAAGTCTGACGAGTTCTTTGCTGTAAAGCAGTGGGCACCATTTGTGCTGATTGGCGATGATGTGACATTGAATTGTAGCCAGTGAAGGTAAGGTTCTCACTATAACTAAGTTTTATTGTCATATTTAACCCTTTACTTTCTTAAATCCGATTTAGATACTGACGGGAAACCAAACCAATACTAGTTTCGGTGAATTACTGAAGCGAAGCGTTCTTTGATTAGTAGGAATTTGGAGCGCAACCTTGTCAGGTTCTCCTCTGTTTTAGATTTTCTACGTTGTCGTACGTTATGTGGCTGCGGAAGGCCAGTACTAATTGTCACGTTTTGGCAGAAATTATTAGCAAGTTTGAAATGCAAGCGACCTGCTAATGACAAAAACGTTGAGGAGGAAGCTAAGGATTAGACAGTTAGATAGTGCGAGGCCTTCTATGCGGGAGGTACAGAGTTCGATTCCCGAGGTATGACTACAAATCCAAGAAATTAATGTTTTTTATGAGTGTCTTTACATCTGATAAAGACACGGCTAAACTTTACGTCCAATTTTTTGGACCAAAATAACCCCAAATCTAGATACTAGTGCAAGAGTGAGTTGATCTTATATCAGAGATTTTGAAGCCGTTCAAAAACCTCGCAGTCGTGTATTACGAGGTTTAAAAACTCTCGGCTTCGCCTCGACTTTTTTTAACCTGATAATACACTCCTGCTGCGAATTTTAAACAGTACGTAAAACAGAACACTGATGGAGAGATGGGGGAGGGTAAAATAAGCAGACCGTCGACCTTAGGTTTGTTAGTTAGATGACTATTTCGAGCTACAGAAGTAAAATAAGGACTTTTCTTACCTTAACCTTTTTTTAAAGGTTCACCCCAGCCAGTCTCTCCACACTTCAACGGTTCCTAATCATTCCTGATAATATTTTCTACATGCTGACTGATTACCATGACTTTTCTTTAACTTATTTTCACTCAGCTAAAGGTCAGTGGCACCCTGTTCGTGTGTTCACGCATCGCAAAGCTTCAGTCAAGAAAATTCTAATTGCTTCTAGAGCATAAGTTCCAGAGCAAGAGCAAAGGATGACCATAGAAAGGTCCAGTACTCCGTTTGTGACTACTTATTAAACCTGACAACTGAATTGCTGCCAGATTGTAGCGTATCCAGCAAGGAGTGCTAGCCATTGGCGGCGTTTTCAAGTATTACGCAAGTTAACTTAGTCTCGGAAGAGAACAGTAAACTCTGTTAACGGGCAGAACGTTCATTATTGATCGACTAATTAATTTCAGCATAGTTAGTGGGGGACCAACAGAAGCACAAAGGAAAAAAGGACTCCTTAATATACTTTTTCTGGTGCCGTTAGGTTTTAAATCGTTAGTAGTTTGCGCAGTACTGGTTAATTACCACTTTCCAAGGTTCCTTTGCGGGTGAAAAAATGAAAATAAAGGTTGACGGAAAAAATGTGCACGCGACAATCCCGAAAGGTAATATGGGATATGATCACTAATCCTGACACTGTAGCTGTCGAACCTACTTTTGTTGCTTAGTTTTAGCACTAGCAAACACACGTCCATGGCCTTTCGTGTCATTCTTTCAAACTGCTTTGAAGAACAGTGAATTCAAAACCACCCACAACACCATTGGGATTGTCGCCTGCACTGTTTCCGACAACCTTCTTCGAAATAGCGGTATCACACTGCGGAATGACAGTGCGACTTTCTGTTACCTCATACATTACGTACTCGAATGAGCGCTGGAACAAGCGCCGCATTTGAAGTGTGAAAATTTAATAAACACCGTGGTGAAAGAGCGGATAAACACCACGAACAAAAACATCTAAAAGAAACAGGAGTGCTGTTGGTTTGCTTACGACAGGTGAGCGGATTACCCATAAAAGGACAAGAGAGAACAGTGTCCTCTCTGATACGACCCATTCCATAGGCGACTCTGTTAGCTATGTTTAGTAACAAAATAGCTAGAAACTGAAGTTAAATATCTTTTAAAGCTTTAATGTAATTACCTGAAATTTTGTCACAAAGCTAAAATCGTCGTTTTCTAATTATAAACCTTTCAGTTTCCCGATCTTAAGATCTTGGCGGGAAAATGGCGCGAAAAAGCCGGTGCACTTTACGGCTACATAAACACTGTTAATGTGTTGACAGGCTCGCAGGCGAAAAAACTATTGAAAATATACAGTTTTAAAATCTTTCATTGGGATTATAAGCAAAAAGCACATTTTACCCTACTTTGGCTTTCATTATATAAAGTAATTTTTTGATTAATTAGTCGAAACTGGCTGGTCAGACCAGTCTTTAAGAGACTGATTCCACTATCAGTCAGAACGTCACAGCCAGATCAGTCTATTCTAGTGTAAATAGTTTTAACGGCAGTGCTGGGTTTTTAGCCAACCTATTCAAAGAAAAGCCTATTTCTTTTTCCAGATCCGGCCGGCCAGTATTGACTTTGGTACGCACCCTAACTAGGGCATCATAACTTACACGACAAAATGTTTTAGCTTGCAATAAAATCATCAGTAAACGTTAATATGGCAACAACAGCTGTCTTTGCGGCTACTAAAAAGGTTAAAAAAATATATACGCAGTTAAGTACGAGTCAAACAGTCTCAAGAGTACATGTCTCAACACTGTCACAACATTTCTTGACAGACGATGTAATGACGGTATGAAATCACCTCTCCACGTTGCTGTGATATGTTGGCGAAATGGGAAGCAAGGGTCCAGACCTCTTGCCTCCCATACATTGCATTCCCGGCTCCCACTCCTGTATTCTTGGCATTTTACCTTTAGTCCTTTTCCGACTGCGAAATAGATGAGCAATGTTGTGTAATTCCCCTGCCCCCCTACGCCCCAATTTATCCAGATTCCCACCCTTTTAGAACTCCCGCCATCCGTAACCATCCCGCCCCCTTTTCAGCCGGGCTCCCACCCCCTTTCCTCCCATTCGCTTCAAAAGTTCCCTTGTTCTCGAAATGTAAGTGATCACCATGATTATTCCTTTGAGTATGTCGATCGTTTGGTGATCCAGCGTGGTCTCATTATCTCTCCACATTTTATTGACAAAGATTGACAGAATGCTGAAAAATGGTCGCGACTCTCTGACCGACGGTTTAAGCCCCCGGGGAAGTACTCCGTTATATAAGCCATATAGGTATATTCAGCCCCAAAGGGTAGGGTTTTTGAACCGTTTCGGTCTGAAAACGGGGATATGAGTTTGCAAATTTTGCTCTGGAATCGGGTATGGTTTTGTCAAGGGTACTACGGGAGTGTAGTAACGTACTTGTCGTTTCAATTCCAGATGAATAAGAAAGAAAAAGTAATATACGAATTCGAAATGGACTTTAAGAAATCTTGTTGTAAGTGTTCTAATCAAAGTAAGTAGAGGCCAGGTCTGAAAATGGGTGTCGAAAATGGCATTTTAGTCGGGTCAGGGTTTGGAGAATCGGGCGGCTCACCCATACCAAGAGTTCCCAGGAGTACCCCCCGGGTTTTACACTGTACGGGATGGATCGTAAATATTTCTAAGACGCTGTTGCAGTAACTGTAAGAAAACATTCATCTCGTCGCTCTCTTGTGCTACTTCTTCGACAAGTTTTACACAATCATTCAGGGCACGTGGATGGATTCTTCCCTCAGGGTTTTTCTTGTGATAGAGGACTTTTGCCACTTCTCTCAAAGCCCAAATACTTGCATCTTGAACTTCTTTTCTAACTGAATTTACTTTTTGCTCACCACCCAAAACCTTGTTTTCCAGCAGCTCGACTCGTCTCTCAGCCACTTTTTTTCCATCTTCGGGTGCAACCAGCGCATACTTTTCGTGGCGTCGTAGCTCAGCTATTGAGATATGCTTGGCGATTTCAACACACTGCTTACACAGTTCCTCCATCATAAAATCGTTGGCTAAAACCAGGAAGTCAATGGCTTGATGCGGCGTTTTCTCTCTCTGTAGCAGGTATCTTTCGCAGCGTTCTGTTAGCTGTTCCATCTGGTATTCCCTCGCCAAGACGAGTAGAAAATGGAAGTTCGCTTCGTTAATTGACTTAGATGTTGGATATACAACTAGCAACATCTCCCTTATTTCAGAAGCTTTTTTGCCAGGAAGTGGTATTTCACTGGAGGACTTTTCTCTGAATTCTGAGCAGAACATTTTTTCAAACACGGGTGACCACATGGACAATGTGCCCTTATGAACATGGAATCTTCTTTCTTCGACAACAAGAACAACATCGCTAAGATGCCAGGGCTCAGAAAAATCTGGTTCTGATCCTCTCGTCTGCATGATCTTGTCCTGCAAATAGATGAAAACGGATAATTAACAATTATTGGACAAGGTTAAGCAAAATATCATGATTTGTCAATGGCGAGCAGATAACTTATTTGCCAGAGCCGGAGGCTGAGGCAAATAACTGATCTGCGAGACACTGACAAATCACGATATCTTGCGATAACCGAGTTCACTAATTGTTCTATCATTCGATCACCAAGTTTGTTTTTTAATGAATATCTTCGGAAAGCGAAGCGATCTGCCATTTCTCACGCAAGAGCGATCGCAAGAAGGAGAAAAGCGTGGTTTCGTTTACGCATGAGCAGAATATTATTTGCAGCTAAACATAGTTGGACAACATTGCGCATGAACAGACCATTATTTGAAGGCAGTTATTTACACGCACGTCGTAGGCTCTCGGCTAATGAAAAGGAAGAAAAGGTCTATCAAGGGTGGTTTCTCGTTTCGTTGATGCATAATTGTGTCCAGTACTTACCCCTTTCACTCCCAGAAAAAGCAAAAGACTAAATTAGACAAAAAATCAAAATAATATTTCAGTTTGTAAAATGTTGCAAAACAAACAGTAACTGGTGAAAGTACTGCTAAATGCTGCTTGAGTGGACACATCACAGGATTTCGTCCACAGACTCAAAAGTCAGAACTACACACTAAATAAATAGTACAGTACCATTATAGGAAATGCTGCTGAAGAGGTGTCAACTGAATGGTCACACCATAAGATTTCATCCAGATAAAAAAGTTGGAACCCCCATATAAGACTATAATAATAATAATAATGATAATAATAATAATAATAATAATAATAATAATAATAATAATAAAATTTATTATCATTATTGTTATTATTATTATTCCTTTTCACTGGCATCCATTGTGTTTGGCTGCAAATAATATTCTGCTCATGCGTAACTGAAACCATGTTTTTCTCCTTCGTGCAATCACTTTTGTGTAAAAATGGCAAAATGGCAGACATTCATTAACAAACAAACTCAGTGACCGAATTATAAAACAATTATTGGAAAAGGTTGAGCAAAATATCGTGATTTATCAGTGTCTCACAGATCAATTTATATTTATTGATCGGCTCACCACTGGCAAATCACAATATTTTGCTCAACCTTGCCCAATAATTGTTTATTATTATTACTATTATTATTATTATTATTATCGTTATTACAGTCAACTCCCTTTTATTGCAGACACTTCAGGGACCTTGAGTTTATGTCCTCATTAGCTAGAGTCCATTACAGAAGGGTGTCCGCAAAAGTGACAGTTGACTATTATTATTATATTGCTTTCACCATAATTTAAAGAACAGAAACCCAAGTAATTGCTACTAATAAATTCCAAAAAGGGAAAACAGCAGTTATATGTTACTGACAGAATAATAACAATAAATAGTAAGTACAGTTTGTAGCAAAGAGCAAATTATTTTTATCCCTAGGCCTCAGAGACACCTCAGCATGCAAAGAAAGGTGTGTCTAATAGCCCAAGGCTGAAAGTCCAAGGATTTTGTGATTGGGCTAGTGAATTCTCCTCTTAACTTGCCCAACAGGCAAATGAAGTTTTCTGTGGGAATTCAAATCACAGAAGACAGTACTGTAAGACAAATTGTTTAAGTTCATAATACCGGTAAATTCATCTGGATCCAAGGTTGTGCTCTAAGAAAGATTGAACGGAGCCGAGTGCTTTGAATCTGTGAAATCCAAGGTACTCAGCATATGATTTCTATGAAAAAACTAAGATTTTCTGGTCACCAGGGAGCAAAAGTTAGATGGCAGGGGCCACCAGGCTCTGCCAGAGAACACCCTTAGGGATTGAAATCTGTTTTTCAAGCTGATCTTACAAAGTGAAATTATTACTTTTATTAATATTGCAATAAATATATTATTAGAGCCAGTTATTAATTAACTAATGGACGGGTGCTAATACAGCTGCCTCTTATCGCTCCCCATTGCTGGGATATTTTGTGAGCGACATCTCCATTCCATACTGATGATCAATGTAAATCAATGTTAAGAAATTTTTTATATACATCTAACAGTCATGTGATTTCTGAGGTAAATTTGTTTGGGTTTTTGCTTCTTGTGAATTGTTGTAAAAGTTTTGAGTTTTCCAGCAAATTTGATGACAGTAAAAGGAAAACATCCTTTATAGTAAAGCAAATAAAGTCCCAGGAAATGAGTGTTTTTTGGTAAAAAATTATTAAGCACCTTTTTATCTTTGTGACCCTATGTCTTTTGTCTGTAACTTCTAAACATTTTGTCAACCAATCAGAGCTGCTGACCAGATTCAGGAGAGATTTATGCCATCAGTATGGCATTTTTGAGGACAAAATGCAGAAATCTGTCTTGTAAAATGTCCACGTGGCAGTGAAGCCACTGTTCACAGTTGGCACATCATTTTGTACACAAAGGCCACAGGAAAAACGTTTTCTATTGCTTTTATAAAATAACTTTCCTGAGAAAAAATTAAACCCTTTGTTTATGGCACTGACTAAAAGAAAATTCTTACCAGTCATGAAGTGCTGTACCTATAATTATTTTGTGTTTGGCAAAAAAAAAGACGCTTTCTCCAGTATGGATTTTTCTAGCTTAAAATGTCAGCTTAAATGAAAAAAAATTGACACAGCATGTTTGTAAAGATTTTCCAAGTATCATTTAGGAACTTACTGAGTTCTCAACTCAAAACCTTTTTCAAACTTGTGCTTGCCACGTGATTAGCGTGTAAGCAAAACATCTTGATGTGACAGCCATGTTTACATACTTTCAAGCAAACATGCCTCTCAGCCAATCAGAGTATGCGTACTATCTTAGTTATTTAATAAGTGATTATAATAGGGGGAAATGAAGTAGTCCTGGACCAATCACAGCATGCAACTTAATAATTATAATCAATTATTATTATTGAGTAGTGTACTATTTAAACAATAATAATTATTATTTTAATAGTAGTTATAAGTCTACTCCAGTTAACTGTTATGAGCTATCTTACATAAATCAATGTACTGCACTTGTGGGAGTTCAAAACACAATACTGCAGGTCAGGAATGAGTTAATCATGATTTTTTCATGTATTAACTAGATGCTAGATAACAAATGACAGAACAAAAAAAATTTGTCTTTGTTGGTTACTGCTAAATTCATTGTATTGAGCGACACATTTTGCAAACTTCTAAGGGATTTTTTTTTGTTTCTTGGAAGTTTGCAAAATGCACAGCGCAATACAGTGAATTTGGCAGTAATAGAGAGTTTTAGATCCGAGTTTACCACAAACCTCTAACTGCGGTTTGCGGCCACCATTTTAAATCAGCAACCATGAATGGCACTTGTTTTCAAGATCCAATAGGATTTATAAAATTTAGCATTTCGCCCGAAATTGTGCCTCTGTTAATGCATGAAGACTTGCTCCACTAGATTTTTGTATCATTACGTGGAATGAAACAAGATCGAATTATAGCCTAAAAGCTTTCAGGTAAATGACATATGTGAAAACCTACCTCCCCAAGTTGAAAACGCACGTCGTAAACCTCAAACGTGATGCAAAAGACTTGTCACGTGACCTCCAGGGGTTAGAGGTTCGCGTTAAACTCAGATCTAAAACTCTCTAATAATTGTTAACAACTTCCAGCTCAACCTCTATTCAGGGAAGACAACTGTTGAGGCCCTCAAAAGGATAGAAGCAACAAGTGACATATGACACTGAAAACTAGTGACAATCTTCTCAGAAAGCATCAACAATCAACTGAAAAGGAGGAGGAACGAATTGTGGCAGCGACAATCCTTTTTTTAAGTACTGAAAGTAACATCTGCTCACTTTTGTATTTGGGTTGTTCCGGTGACGAAACAACGTAATACACTCACTTCTGTTATTTCCAAACATGAGTAAACCAACTGATGCAATGCAACCTTCACACATTTTGTTTCAAAATCGCTAAAACCGATCACTTTATTTTACAACAAGGATCAAAAGCGACAATCACAAGAAGTCAACCGATTAATTTTTATCATTTCAGCTTCTATCGAGCACCAAAAAAATGTCTACATCGACACTTAGCTGTCACTATTTCACACGAGCCAAATAACAACATACAACAAACCAGTACTGTTTGAACAAATAGCTACGTTCTTGTGTTAGGGACAATAGTTTATCGAAATACTCCAGTGAATAAAATGTGTATAAAAGAGTGCCAACATGAATCATCAAACCCTGATCGATCTCCCAACTCGGGGCCGGGCTGAGTTTAAATAAGAAAGGGTAAACAAGCGAAATAAGAGGGGACCAATAAATGTGAATGAACTACAGTTCTATCCATTTATAAATACTTACCCTTCAATACAGCAGACCTTTAGTTCGATAGAAAACTGGAGAAAACCGGAGTTGTCGCGTCGTTGTCGAGTGAAGTTGTGTTTACTGAGCCTTCATTACTGTTAATCGGTCAGTTTTTGCCAGCGTTAAGGGAAGATGCTTCATATATGATATTTTATTATGTATGTGCTTACATCACACCCTCTTTTTTCTCTTCAAAGTCCGTCGAGCGCGCGTGATAAAATATAAACCGCAGGGGATTTATTGACCGATGTCTCCGAAAAGAACGAAAAGAAAAATAAAACAAGGTCTGTGTACATGCAGGCTAGCCTACATGATTTATTCCCTTTCAGATTCCTGATTCCCTTTGTAATACAATTCTTATAAATGGCCAAAAACACGTGGACAAAGAAGCGGCAAGCGACACACTCTCCACATGGTTGAGTTTCGGATTTGGATTTCCGTAATATACCAGGAATAATTCCGATAGCTCTGAAAAGCCACAGAGATGCGTTCCGTATGATATTGGGCATTGTAACAATCTCTCCTTTACCGAGTTTTTACCATGTACCCATCTGACAGGTTACCGTTCGCTCTTCAATCTCCCAACATTCAGTATTTAAGTGTCTTGATAATTGGTCATTGGTCATTGAATTTAGAAGAAAAGTCACTACTCAAGGGGGTAGGGTAGAGGGGCCAGTTGACATTTAATTTAAGGTATAACAAAAACAAAAACAAATTAAGCTAAGTTAGAAAAAACTAGCACATATCATTTTGGTCCTTTTCGTTTCGACTCGCTCAGAAGCAGATTTTCTTATCACTTAACTTTTTACAGTACGCTCGTCATTCACGGTTCGAACCTTCCGTGGTATAGGAGGTGTTTTTATGCATTTTTTTCTGTCAAGTCATACTTAGCGACTCATATCATCCGTTTTCGTAAAACACTATCCGTCTGAAAACTTTTATCAGGTAGATAATGATCTGTAAACGAAAAATACTCCATTTATGTTATTATTTGAGAACGATCATGATCTGTCCCATTGGGTCTCACCAAGAGAGCTGGAACAAAACTCTGAGTCCTGTGCGAGTAATATCCAGCGTCACGTTTTGTCATCACATCCATCGACACCTCGCCACATCAATATCGTCCATAATAAACTCAGAAAAATCTAAATCGATGGATATTAAACACGCAAAGATCAAGAAGGATGCCTGCCGGTTTCAAGTCATTTTAGCGATCCGGGTATATTGTATGAAAAAACCTCTTCAGTAGCTAATTTCTTTTATCTTTTTTTTAATGGTCTAGCTGTTTTGTTTTACGTTGGAATAAATTTGTAGAAACAGTAGATCATCAACAGCATTAGTTTTTCATTTTGTTTGAAGGAATTGTAATTGTCTCCTTGGAACGCAGGTGGTGGGAAAAAAATGTAAACAGTTATCCCATAAAGCCCCCTAAAAAATAAAGTAACGTCCAACAGATCTTGATAAAACAAATATAAAATTAACATCTTATGTGATTATGATGAAAGCGTTATATATGACTTCGTTTTTCGCTGGTATATTACTAGATCGAGGCATACCTTTATTTCATTGTCGTTTCCATGGTTACAGGTACCTGTCTTCACCAGTAAAGTGCGGTCTATATAATAATGCATCGACGTCAATCAAACCGAAAACCATAGCAAATATACAAAGCAAACTGCTAAAACGACCTGTCGATACCCCTACCTATGCAGATCTCGGGGCATAAAAGACGAGACCCCTGTCTAAAGTTGGAGGTTGATTTTACTTAATCTTCGAATCTTCAAATGATTAAAGCGACGGGATAATGCCGTCTTCAACAAGACTCAATGCTTCATAATGTTTCTACTATATCTGATGCTCAAGTTTTCCGGTAGGATTTTATGTTGCGTGTTCCTATTATTTAGCGTTCTATTGTGCCGTTTGTATAAATTTAGCTAGTGTATTGGAAGCAGGAAGACTGAGTGATCTGAGCCAATAGAACTGTAAACCATGCGGTCAGTAACGTAAATACGTGTATTTTTTAGCTGGTACCGAAATAATTTGAAGATTCAATCGTGAGAAAACACGCGTTTTAATTTTTACCCAACTGAACCTAACGTAGAAAATAGAGCGTTCGCCAGACAGACAGGAGATTTATTAATTATCGCAGGCGGGTCTACTTTATAAAAATGAAAAATAAAACGGCTTGAATTCAATCACAGTTAAATGTGAAATTGACCATTTAAATAGGAAAGATTCTTTTCTGGTTTCAGAACAACTTTAATATTTTGCATTTGCATTTCGAGATAAGGAAATCACTTCGCTTCCTAATTGTTTCGTCTTCCTTTTCAACTGCCGAGATGAATTACATTTGGCTTCCTCTTATGAATGATCTTGCTATTCGCACATTTAACTTCTTTCTAGGCTGGAAATTCAACATGAATTTGCTATCCGTCTATTTTTGCGAAGTAGTTCTAGTGATAATAGCCTACCAGCCATGCATTTTAATTTAAATTCGTGGTTTATCTTCTCAAAAACTCCCACGACACGAAAATTAAGGCTAGTTTTTCCTGCTTTATTTTTTAATGATGGCTTGAAACAAAACGGCGAAAATTCTTATTATGCAAATTCTGTTCCTTAGCTCGTGTCTATCGTCACACTTGATTTTATTTACTCTGAGTTTCAACGATCTTTCTCGATGCTTCTTAAATTCAACTGAAAGTCAGAATCTGAAAGGCTTCAGTCCTCAAAACGTTTTGACAAGCGAAATATGTGCATGTCAAACTGCTGACTCAAACTCGCATAGAATAAACGGCGCTGAGTTATTTGCCAGCCATTCATCTTGCATGAATAAAAATAATACGAAATTTACGTCAAATAGAACGGAATTTCATCCTTACGAAATTGATCATGTTTTTTTAATGTTACAAAATATGTATTAATAGTGATGAACTCATTTATTATGGCATTTTATAGTCATGCATGACCCGTTTACGAAGCAAACTGCAACAACGACGACTATTAGAAAACGATTTTTCCCTCTGTATTTTCTGAGTGATGTTTAGCCACAAACCGCTTGCGGTGCTTTGATATTTATTCGCATAAATTTCGTGCAAAGCAGATTTTGATTAAAACATTTTCAAAAACTCGTAACAACACGTTTTTCTGTGGCTGGGCATTTTGATAATTTCCTTCTACATTGAACAAAATTCAAGGGACTATTTATCGACTTGGGTCTGTTTACGTTGCGGCGGGCGAAGCAGACAGACGAGAAGACATCCTTTACCGTTTCAATAACTTTTGAGACAGGTGGGAAAAGAAATTATCTATATTGCAGTCACTTAGAACTTGAGGCTTCGCACTAGTTTATGGTAACTAAATTGGACTGCCTGAGTCATTACATAAGTTATTGAGATGACTTCCATTGAACCCGTTTACATGTACTTCTCACAAGAAGTTCGCAAAACCATTCATGAACTACAATGGCATCTGATACAGAGGCCATGAGGTATTTGAATCCTACATAAATTAGCTTGGGCAAGTATTGTTCATCCAAGCAAGGGGTACAGACTTAACGGTTCGAAAGCAATTGACCTTGGTTAATATGTACAATTGTTAGTTCCGTAAAACAAATAACTTTAATTTTAAACCATCAGGCATTAGAGTAGTAATGAGGTAAAACTTTTCTGGCAAATTCTTGAGCCGAGTACCATTGATTGTGCTGTTTATAATTGTCTTTCAGATAAGGCTCAGAACAGAACGTTGTCGAGCCAACGCTTTCAACTTCCTGTGAAACCGAAAGACAGTCAAATTATTGATGTTCATGAATCGCTGTCTAAACCAAAGTACCTGTCAACTGCGAAAAAAATACAGATAAGAGTTAATCATCAAACTTTATCGGCACCTCCTGGAATATCTAAAGCTGGACACAGATTGTTACACAGTTTGTGCATCTCCGGCATGGTACGGAAAAAGACAATTTCCGTATATTACATTACGCAGTCCTGCTTAAAAGGACTTGGTGAATTATTTGCGGCAAATAAGTATTCCTTACTTTCATCATCTGGTTTTAGAATTTCTTTGACGTTTCTTGAGGTCTTCTTGTGGATAATAAAGAATTTTTCCTGTTTGACGAGTTTTTGGATTATGTCTTTATTGGCTTCTTCAAGATGGACGGTGTGTTCAAAAGGGAGGCGAAACTACAGCAAGTGTCATTCAATTTACAGTAAACATTTTCTCTCCCTTTTCTCAACTTTTGAAAATGCTTGGACAACTCTATTTGTTTTATTGACTTTATTCGATTCAGGGAACTCTTCGTCAGCTATTTCAACTGGGACGATAATTAACACTCCATTGACTTCCCAGTCAGGTTCTTTGATACCTTCTTCATTATCAACTGACACAAATTCGCACATTATCGGTAATTTCAGCGTAATAACACAAAACATTTTCCCTGAGGAGTCGAACAACACAATAGGTTTACCTTCAGTTGCCTCTGTAAGAAGCACAGAGTTTTCTACAACTGAAGAACGCCCAACGATGACGTCATCCGAAAGCGTTTGGGATTCCACGACAATGGAAACCATCTCTTTAAAAACTTTTAATGGTTCACCCTCGAAAACACTGATTAGTCATGTTCAGACCATTAATGTGCCATCTCCTTCACGTCCAACGCATCTATTAGCTACAGAAGTTGTAACGCGTTCAAAGGATTCAATATCAATGGCACCAATTACATCAAAGATACCTACAACAGAGAGATCTCCGTTGCCAGGAACATCAGACGTTTCGGTCTCCAAGATTGGTTCAACATTTATGACAAGTCAAACGAAAGCAAGCAGTGTTACAAAATCGACCAGCAATCCTTCACCTGGCGTATCACCCATTAGTGGATTAAGAAACTCTGTTGCCAGTCTGTGGACAGCCTCAACAAAAACGCTTTTATTCACCGATTATCAGAGCAATAGCACGAAAGTACGCTCTTTAGTGAGATCAACAGTATCGATGTTAAAGGAATTGTCTCCTTCGTTGAAATATTCGTCACCATATGCACCTACACACTTGGAATCAGCATCAACATTAGGTGCATCACCAATTTTGGAATCCTTACTGCCCTCCAGTCAATCTCCAGTTACAAGCATCCCAACAGAAGTCCCGGTTGTGTCTAGTTCAGAATCGTTGGTTTCATCATCGTTGTATTCAGTGTTACTATCAAAATCAACGCACGAATTATCGTTAACACCATCTGTAGAACTTCTTAGATTGCCATCACAATCAACCTTTATACCTCCTTCGTTTCTTCCGCCGCAATCACCATCGTCGTCAGCACCGACTTTATCACAATCCTCATCACTGCTAACAACAACTTCACCATCTTCGTCTTCAGTGAAGTCCAACATATCACCGTCGTCATCAACAAGTCGGACGCATTTCAACGCATCATCCTCTGTCACCGTGGGCAGCAACGCAACAGGGAGTGTCATCAGTGTCATTCTTGACGCTTCCAATGTCAACAACAACGTCTACGCAGGAATCCTCCTCAACACCATCAATGGATTTACTTACATCTCAATCAACCTTGTCACCTTCCTCACTTCCACCCCAGTCACCATCGCTCACACCATCATCGTCAAGACCGAAATTATCACAATACCCATCACTGCCAACAACGACATCAACATTAACTTCAACACCGCTATCTTATTCACTTATACCAACATCACCACTAAAAACATCACGATCATCGTCAGCTTCATTGTCATCTCCATCACTATCTTTATTACCATCGCCTCTGCCATCGTCAACAGTATTGCCACCAGTATCATCACCATCGTTGTTACACTTACCGTTAACATCATCATCACCATTGTCATCATTGTTGGTAGTTTCATTGTCAAGGATATCATCGCCAGCAGTGTCACCAACAACATTGCCATCTATATCATCTCCATCGTCATTACACTCACAATCAGAGCCACAATCAGCGTCATCGACATCACCATCATCATCATCATCAATGTTGATATTTTTGTCATCATCGCTACCTTCAGAGTCATCTTTACTGTTAACTTCATTATCATCATCATCATCATCATCATCAGCTCTAACATCAGCGCCTTCGACTTCATCAATGAAAAGAGCATCGTCACCATGGCCATTATATTCAGCATCAAATCCATCATCATCGCTGACACCATCTCCAGGGCCTTTATCATCACCAAACGTAGCACCGTCAACATCGCTAGAGTCATCTTCTTCATCACTACAACCATCATCGCCACTACAATCACTACCATCACCATCATCATCACTTTTCTCATTGCCAGCACCGTCCATTCCTTTCCTGACTCCATCATCCCCTTTGAAAAAGGCGCAACTTTCTTTTCCATCGGTATCATTGCCTGAAACTGCCATGACGTCCATAAATTTGTCACTAACGCAAATTTCATCATCGACGTTTATTTCGTGGAGCAACTATTCGCAGCAACAATCATCTTTGGTTAATAATTCAACAACTTATAATGTAACGACCCAGGAGACAAGCAACGTTATCGCCGCTATCACTTCTAGCGGAATCTTTGGAGAAACTCCAACGAGTTTTATGTCGTCGTCGATAGCACTTGTCACATCAACGACAAGTCCACCTGACGAACCGCGGATACTCAATCTAACATTTTCGCTAATTAGCGAAACCTTTCACGAGGATTTGAACAATGCAAGTTCAGCGAAGTTTGTGAACTTGTCCGGAAGAGTGAACTTAACGGTACTATTTTTATTGTAGCTGTTTACTTTGCTTTAGCTAGCCTGCGTGACAGGCGTTCAAAGAACAGGGGGAGTGGAAATTTGGAAGCGCAAATTCCCCATTACCCATCTTCTTTTAACGTCTCCCACGCAGGTTGAACTTTGCTTTATATAAGCACTTCCAACGATTGTCAGGGTCCGGTTCCTCAAAAGATGGTTAAGTCTAACCGAGCGTCTAGTCAAGATTTAAGGGACAGAGGTTTTTTTGTCTGAGAACATGCAACTGGAGTTTATATAAAATATTATCGAGCCTTTTCCCCGAGATCCAGTTATCAAAACACAATTGATATTGTGCTCTTAAAAATCTATACGAAGAAAAATAAATTGTCCATTGAAACTTTGGATTAGAGTCATTCGGCCTTTCAGCAATCGGCCCCAGATAGTTAACACCTGTACACTGATGTCCTGCGCTAAACCAATCGCGGTGGATATGGCTACCATTATAAATCCTCTGTAACATCCCTTTTTCTACTATTCCCCCCCCCCTCCCAAACCCTTTTTAGCGAAAAAAATTCCTCTACCTTCTCTGCTTTCTTTAGATTTGCAGTCAAACTGTGTAAAGACTGAATTAAAAAAAAACATTGTTTATCACAGATGACTAACCTTTTATACCAAAGTTCGGTACAGTTTGTAGAAGTACAGCTCACATCTCCAAATTACATAAGAAAATTTAAAAAAAGCCACGGGAAGAATAATAGACGATTTACGATAAATATTGCGGTTATTCACTCTTCGTTAATTATCTATTTATTTCTTATTTATTCATTGATTTTTGGAGCCTTGATCTATTTATTTGTCTATAACTGAATTTTTTTCCCTATCTCCATAGCTATGGGAATTGTTACGCGCGTTCAAGAAAGGCCTGGTGGATGTAAGAATACTTCAGTTTAGGTTTGTATACAGCTACAAGTTTTGAGAACAAAAATATTTTTTCCTCTTAGGGTCATCAACCAAAATTCAAGACAGATACCCAATTATAGCGAAAAACTGAAAAAAAAGAAAGGTAACCATGAAACAACATTGCCAAGGAGTCTCATAACAGAACTGTTTTAGATTTAGAATTGCTAACTTCGTTTAATTGTTGATTAGAAAGAGGAAATCGAGTGGGAAACTGCCCTACTACTCCTCCCCTAAACCAGCATTTTGCCCCAAGTGAGAAGTAAGTGTTAAGGTTGGCTTAGGGGAGGAGTAGGTGGGCAGTTTCCCGGAAACGTGTAATGATCCGCGATGTATAATGATCCGTCGAAATGGCCCCATGTAGGGTAATACGAATTCCAGAATCTGGGGATTTTTTATTTGTGGAACCTAGAATCCTGGGCTTTGGAATCCGGAATTCAGCTCAAGGAATCCGGAAACCCGCAACCGATCTGAGTACGGAGTCCAAGTTCCGCTAAAAGGAAATCCGGAATCCAATATACCTGAAATCCAGAATCCACGGCGTGGACTCCAGAATCCAAGACTGTCTTGGATTACCTTAAATGGGAGAAAAAAAAAGTAGCAAGGGCCTTTGTTTTCTTTTTCAAGAAATGGAAGCGTTAAGGTGGATTCTGAGTTGGTAATTAGCAGCGCTTCCAACGTTACTGCGCAAGATGTCAATCAAAGTCTGTGGACAGGCAATGGCTCTAACAGTGAAGGATTCATTTTTGGCCACATAATAGTCAAGGGTAAGATGTGTTTATTGATTTTATTGCAATGTACTGCTGTGATTATCACGTTATTTCGTGTTCCAGCTTCATCAGTAATATAGAAATTTGGTTCTAGTACTATCCCTAGCAGTAATGCCACTTTGTCTGCTAATGTCAATGGTTCTTCCTAGCTGGCATGAAAGAGACCACTTTGTTTCCACCTGGAAAAATTTCATTATCAGAGTCTTTCTACATATCGTGTACTCCACTGCTGACATTGTCCTTACAAATGATTCTATTTGTGAATCGTTCTAATGAAGCTAATCACTCAACAGTTAAACATAACAGACAGCCCCGTTTGGATGTTTAGTTTATTGTTTCTTGCCTATCTGAGACCGGTGCGCAATCCCAAAGTTTTGCGTAAGTAGGAATTGTAGAGGGCACAGGCTTGTCCCCCTGCCTCCAGTCTCCCCAGCCGTACAAACTGGTCTGTAAAAGTTGGCGACTTCTCGGAGCTGCATCTTTGTCGGTTTTCAACAAATCAACTCAAACTTGGTAACTTAGCTAAATTCAAGACGCTCTTTTCAGTGGTGTCGAAGGATTTTTCCCTACCTGGTCCATATCAAAAATTGACTGAAAAAGAATACTTTTGCAGTCCGAACTTGTTTTTTGTTCATGCAATATATACGGCAATGTTCTTGCATTTTAGAGACGTGTACTTCCGGATACTGCAGAAATTCAGGTAGTTGTCAGGAGGGAGCGTTCGGTGCGAAATGCAGGTTAGTAACTAATATCCACTACCCATTCTATTTAGAGTTCGTCTGCGCTACATGAACGCTGATCTCAAAGGAGACTGTGCTTGCGAGCGCAACCACGGATACAGTATTAGGAAGACGACAGTACACGCTATTTTCTTCAAATGTCAGTTTCTAATTAGAATAGACTTTGAAACTATCTCAACTTATAATAACCAGTCCCATCTAAGGCCATAAGGGTGGTGTCTCTGCGACAAAGACCAGACCATTGGGTACTGAAGAAAGAGAGCGTGTAGATGAATGCGTTTCATGTAATAAACAAGCCTCACCTCTAAAATCTTCTTAAGAATGCTTTCATTCCAACTTATAGTTGTTCTGCTGGATTTGTCGGAACAAGGTGTACTCAAGTAGCAGGTTAGTGGTTTATTAAGAAAAGTAGCAAACCGAATCGTAGCTGATAAGGTGAAATCGGAACGTTGAAAATAGTTTTAGTGTGTTTTCAACTGCACTTAAAAACTCACCTTTAAGAAACTAACAATTTCAGGTCACCGCGGAAGGGTTCTTCCCTACCATTCATATGCTATATATCTACTGTACTAAGAATTAATTGGCTAAGCCAGGTTCTTAATAGGGTTGTTATTCTAACTGAAAAAGGTGCATACCGCAGTGGCTTCGGTCCTTTGCTGATTAATAAGAAGTAGTTCCTTCTACACATCTGTTGCCATGCAGCCTGGCCTCTTTTCTACCCAAAGTCCCGGTTCCCAAACTTGAACGAGTCGGCCTAGGGCCAAGTGATTCCAAGAGCAAGACGGACATTAGCCTTCGAAAATGTGGATTTAACTATTTTCTGTTTCCTCCAATATGTTTTTAAGAAGAATTTTTGGATATTTTATGATGCTTTGTGTTATTTTCTGATTTTATAAATAGGAACCTATTTAAGGCTTGACAGATTCCTAGGCGTATAAACGCCAAACGTTAGCCTACGCTTGGTTCTTATAAGTGTCTTTGAATATTTCTGTCTCACAGCATTTCCTGTGGATGGGAAATACTCTGACTGGTCAGAATTCACTGACTGTACCAAGACATGCGGTGGGGGTCAAAAAAGTCGCCGGCGCAGCTGTACCAATCCCCCTCCACAAAACGGCGGAAAGGATTGCGCTAGCCTGGGAGCGAATACGGAGTATGCTGACTGTAATGTAGATGTTAGCTGTCCAGGTAAGAAGAGAGCTGAAATGTCCCAGATCAGTGCTGTTTATTAAAATACTAAGTTTCTGTTCAAACGATGCCGCCTACATTTCAGTTTCAATTTCCTGTTCCCCTTAATCAGCTCGTTGACCAGTTAAGTTGTTAGAAATCGTTTGAAACATTATTTAAACTTGGGGTGAAAATTTATAACTACCAACAGCTGTCTAGAAACTAACACAATTGTTGATTAATTCATTAAACAAATGCAAAATGAAAAAAGGGAGTGAGAGCTATGTCGTTTAATTGCCTTGGGCTCCCATCACTTTTACGTAAGGGCTTTTGCAGGTTAGAAAATCATATGTGTCTTTTTGCATCTCAGAGATTTTGTAGTCAGGGGAATGAAAATGGGTTTCCCGTGCAAAACCAAACTTCAAGGTATCACCGGTAGTACATAATGGGGCCTGGCTTTTCTTTTCTTAATTCTTTTCTCTTCTTTTCCACCAACAGCAAAGACCTAACTGCTGTGTAAAAGGGAAGCAAACCAAACTAAACCAATTAAACAAACAAACAATTAATAAATGCCGCAATCTTTAGTTTAGGTTCTGATTATTTTATCTTTCTGTCAGTTTCATCTGAGATATGGATCGCTGTTGGGATATCCTGTGGTGCGTTCCTCATCATTCTTATTTTGCTTGTTTTGCTCTGCTTGCGAAGAAGAAGAAAGAAAGCCGAAGAAAACAAAAGGTAAATTCGAAGATCGTCCCGTAGACAGATTAGTGCAAATGTGGCTGTGGTAAAATATGAATGTAAATAGCGATGAGATGCATCAGGAAATCTGTAAGGTTTGTGGTAACAAGGTGTAGTCTGCTGAAGTGTCCGCTCTTTCGATGTGCGTGTCACAACAGCTAGAACAATTTTTGGAGGCGATGTCCTGGGATGCCTCGGATATCTACCGCAGTTTAAAAACCTAACGCTAACATCATGCGGCAACAAAGAGAAAAAAAAGATAGCCCTTGTTTAAAGGAATGAAACTCTAGTGGCCAGCTGTTATAAAATGATAGCGGAAGAAAGAAAGTCTTTACATAAGAAAAGGGTTCTACTCTCACAGGATTGGTTTGGGACACCAACATGGCCGCCGTTTGATTATTTTGGAACACCAATATGGCGGACATGAGGTCATGTGAAAACGCTCTGTTGTTTGTTTGTTTATTTGTTTTGTTTTTTGTTTTTACAGCTCCAGTCAGACACGTTTTTTTGAGATCTTCTAAAATTTTGTACGATTTATCGTATTTCTGAACTTTAAGGTCTATGGATTTATACAACAGCAATGGGCACAGAAACACCCCGATACCGTTGGAAGTAATATACGAGGACAAGACAGTACCCAAGCCCTCCAATAAAGGACATTTAAACCCAGAATTTATTGGTGAAGATGATGACGACAACGACATATACAAGGCCCAGCTGTTGTTGTTTTTAAAGCAATCCCATTTAATACGGCCCAATGTATACCCAGACGAGCAAGACAACAATTCTGATACGTCCGATTATTCACGGAAGAATTCTAGAAGAGTTTCTGCTTTATCTGCTGCCAGCGACAAAAATCAAGGGGACAACGATAAACCGGTTGTTGAAATTGAGACCGCTGTAAGTTAACTTTTTACTTTACGCAATATTCAAATTACCGCATTTTCCAGCCTCGACCCTAGGCGTTCTCGACTCGGTCAAACCTAGACCCTATCGTGAACTGTGACGTCATGGAGCGAGACTCACCTGGCCTTTCCCAGACTTTCGCGGACAATGGGGCAAGAGGCAACGCCTAGGGACTAGGCTGTGTAGTTTCCAGAACCAATTTCTGGGGGCTAACTCACCCTTTCACTCCCAAACCAAAACTTTTGCAAATGGTTTTACATCTTACCATGCAAAGTGTCTCCCAGCGGACCAAAAAAAAGACGGGCTGTGGTGACGAAAATGTTACCACTCATCCACGAAACCACGCCTTTCCTGATAAAATTTTGGCTGTTCCTATAAATGGGACTGGGACTGGGACGTGGGGACGAGGACGTTGGGACGCGTACACAGGAACTTGGGATTCGGGAGCGCGAGACAAGGGATTCCGGGACGTGAAGTTATTGGGGTGCGGTGACGCGAAATACGGGAAATGGGAAAGTCATGTGAAGTATGGGACACGACCTCAAGCGAAATACAGGACGTGAGGACGCAATTGTACAAGCCTGCTCTGGCTAGAGCCCGTTTTTAATGTTCACAGAGTTAACTCCTTTTGCTACATGAAAACTTTTATTTCACCACTATGTATGGTTTTTACCAAGCCGATTTCGTCTTTTAAACATACCTGTCTCAAACCGACTGTCTCTCAAACCAAATACAGCAGTCTGGCTAGCTGGTCACATTCAATCGTAAATTAGTGCGGACCGATGATTGATTCAAATGTTCTCTTGCTTAACAGGGCCAAACACAACACGATAAAAAAGAACTTCCAAGTACAGAGCTATGGTGAGTAAGAAAAACTCGTAGTGAAAATAAGTTTCTCTAGCTTTGCCATAGCACTTTCTTAGAACAAAAAAGCCGAGAGGGTCTGGAGACGAGAATGACATTGGCTGACTCATTTAGTGGGCATCGTCAATTGTTTGCATCAGTTGTCGTAGCATCATAGGTAGTAGAGTAGATTGTAGCTTAATGGTAGAGCATCTGGACTAGTAACCCGAAGGTCAAAGAGTGATTTTACTTTACCCGTGAAATAGGTTAGTAGAGTACCTATACACATTATTATGCACTTATTCCACTGTCTTCCTTTGTTTACTTGTAGCTATTTTGCACAGGTTGTTAGTATCTGTTTCACGGATAGCGTAAATTAAAATCAGTCTAGATTCGACTTCCATTTGGAGTAGTCGGATTTTTTCTTCCGAGCCACTTGTGTCACTGACTGAAAAATTATCCTTCTCTTGAGGGGACAGGTTAAGAAAGACGGCAAACATCAAAGATTAGCCTCCCCGCAGACGTCCTTTGGGGTTCGTTTAATGAATGCGTGACAAACGAACCCCAAAGGACGTCTGCGGGGAGGCTAATCAAAGATAAGAAACAACGGTAATTCTGTTTATGTTGGGAGTTCCCTGACGGTTTACATATTGTGACAAGATAAATTAATGCGATGGAATGCTCAAATTTAACATACACTGAGGTGACTAGCTTTAAAGGCTTTTTAAAATTTATTGGGTATCAAACTGAGTAAATATTGCAATCTTACAAATTGTTAGTAGCCATTTCATTGTCGTGCCATAAATATTCCTGTTTTCCTGTTATGGGGAACAGTATTGGACAACTCTTGGAAATAAATGTTGAGACATACGTTTTGTTATTTATATTATTGATTTAATTATCTATTTCCTTTTTTTAAACCTTTCTTTTTCCAGATCTCCCTGTGTGGCCAGAGTGCTTAGAACATAACTCCTCGACTTAAAAGTTTGTAAAGACGAGATTTTTCTACTTAGCCAATTTGAATTAGCCTTTAAATTCCAAAAGTGAAGCGATGTAATGATGCATGCACATCAGTAAAAAGCTATTCTTTAAAAGAAAATTCGCTATAGTCGACTATCGCGAACTGAATTCTGAATTTTGATTTTGATCTTTAAGAAAAACCAGATTAGAATTTAATAGTTAACAGAGTGAAACTTCTGCAAAACACTTAAACATTAGATTGGTATTCAGGCGATCGAAGGTGCAATCAATCAAACGAGAGCTAATTTGAGCCAACATATGATAACATTTAAAGTATTAAAATTAATTTTGGGCGAATTTTCGCACGCAAGGAAGAGAGATTAACAAATTGGGTTCGGTAGGTTCCTCATATACCACGGGTCTCGCTTTTAATGATACTCTTAGCTAGGCTTGTATGATGGTGTCCAGGCGGTTTGACTGCACCTACAAGAATCAAGTTCAATTTTACCTCTTTTCGAGATAATTAGCACTATTGTTATTTAAGCGTCGCCACCATGAGAGATAATTATCTGTTCTGCATGAGAATAAAGTTCAGTAGTTGGATAAAATAAAGCTTGTTTAAAAGAACTTTCAGTAGATAGTTGACCATTCTCTTATTACAGTCAACTCTCGCTTTGCGGACACCCCGCTATAACGGGCACCCCAATAATACGCACAACAGCCAAATCCCAGGTAAAAATAAATTACAGATGTTTGACTAAAATAAACTCCAGCTATTACGGACTCTCGCTAATGAGGACACTAACTCAAGGTCCCCACAGTGTCCGCAATAAAGGGAGTTGACTGTATTTCCATCTTGGGATTCAATTGCCATCCTTGTCCCGGCGGAGCGGTCCTTGCCGCTCTTACGTAGCGCGCGCGGGTGTTGTTGCGAGAAGCATGCAGCCCTCGATCACATGACCCCCTGTGAACCTTGGTTACTGCCTTAACACAGATTCCAAGTGTCTCAAATGAGATGCTATCTGATTTCAACAGTTGCACGACTCGTACAGGTCGTACCACGTAATGGGTCCCACTCACGACAACTTTGTCAAAGTCTTTAATGAAAAGCGAGTTCATCAATTGCACGTGCAAATGAGATGCAGTTTAACTACGCGATACTTCATATTATCACACTGAAATATCACCCATACAACCACCAGTAGCAATCGTATGATCTCATCACTTTACCACCCGTACAAGTTGAAACACACACAACACGACTTTCACAACTTGAACAAGTGGCGAGTATTGGGCAAACCTCTTCCTCAAAGGAAGCCACCTCTAGGTCGCCGGGTATGTAAGTGCGCGACTTTTCGGATGCTTTCAGAGCATTATGAATCGTGCAAATCGTGCAAATCAGTCTGCGAGCCCTAATTCCAATAGTCCCAGAGGTCACAGACCATTTAGATTCTGAGACGAGGACAACTACGAGTACAAGATTTTCTCAATACTAAGAGGTGCGCGCGCATAGACCAGCGTCATTTTGGCGGGAAAACTTGATAGCCTTCGTCATGCATTCTACTAGGGGTGTTGGCGAGAATGCCGTTGCGATGGAAACAAGATTTATCATTTTGCACTCAGGAGAGGGCTTAACCTCCTTCAATAAAAATAACCGTGCTAACTTTTCTGGTGAAAAAAACACAATGAAGCTTCCCGGAATGTCGATTTTGAGAAAACAGCGGAAGCTCTTATAACAGACACTCTCGGACAGCTCTACTCGCGGTTTTTCTAAACTTCCATACAAACTCTGTGCTTTTACATTCCCGTAAGCGGCCAGCTAAAGCTACGGACACCCTGTTCGCATCCCGAGGGTGTCCACTCACGAGAGTTTCCATCGTACGCGAAAAGTCAAATCTGGCTCTCATAGCCGTCTTCGTCCTGGAATCTAAAGGCTCCTCGGGGGGAAGGGGAGGGAGTACTGCTTTATATGGGCTATATACGGGTATGTGCCGCTGTGAAGGGTATGGCTTTCAAGCACTTTACTTTGGGATAGGGTATAGAAATCAGAGAGTTTGGGTCTAGAATAGGGTATCATTTTCTAGAAAACTGATCAATTGGTTGAAGATTTTAGTCTACGAATTGCCACTCAAAAATATAAAAAAATCAAATAGGCAAGTTTAAATTTACGTAACTCAGCCTAAAGGCTACTACAGGATAGGGGGTTTGGGGGAGTTCAGCCTAATATAGGGTATATAGGGTAGCAAAACTCAACTGAACTAGTGCTGGTATTAAGTCCAAGGGTTCCAGGGTCCCAGCGGCACATCACCACCCAAAAAATTCCTCACGTACCGCCCCCCCACTTCGGTCTAAAGGTTTCTAATACAAATAAAATTAAACAATTACGAGGATCTACGCTTTATTAACACACAACACAAGCGTATTGCTATGTTAAAGGCATTTTTTTCTCTGTGTGCAAGTATAAATTGTTGTACACTTGCTTCAGTTGGTCTGGATATTTACAATACTCAATATATTACAACAGAAACAGTTGCCCTAACTAGAAAACATCACGCGCAAAAGCAGTTATTTTATAACCTTAATTCTTAGCTTGTCAAATACAATACTTTCAGTGGCTTTCCAAGAAAGATTCAATACATTTTGTTCCAAAACTTGATTTTGACAAACGTAACCTTGTTTCGGGCAAGTCCGTTTGGTCGAAGTTCGATAGAAAAATAAATAATTGTGGACTTATCCCTAGAAACTGCCCGTTATGACGCGTGTTATTAGAGAGATTCGAGAGATTAAGATTCACATTTACGCCAAACGGCAAACGTGAATTTGTACCAGGTGACCAAGCTTTCCCCTTATTTTTCGTTTACTGTTTATTACTTCTACACAAAAACTACGTAGTTTTATGCCAGTTTTATCCATAAGAATCGTTCTGGACTGTTTTTATCTGCTTATTTTCTGTTCTGAGAAAAATCTCAACTGACGTTTGCCGTTTGCCGCATGCCGTAAACGTGAATCTTAATCAGTCTATTAGAGTCAAGTTTACGGCAAACGTAAATTTGTGCCGTGACCAAGTTTTCCCTTTACGTGTTTTAGATTGGTCTTAACTTCTACAAAAAGTTAGTACAATGTAGTTTCACGTTTGTTTCATCCATAAGGATTGTCTTATAGTGTCTTTATCTGCTCGCGTTCTAAAATTTCAAAACTCTCAACTTCATCTGCGGTTGGCCGTAAACGCGACTCTAACTCTCTTCAATAGCTCTAGGGTCCCAACAGACTCGATGTTTGACACTTATGATTTACCCATCCACTCATGAGCACATTGTTTACATGAATGAAAAGTTTGGAACAATCAAGGCCAAGGCAAACAACATTAAGTTGCCAGGTATTCTTCAATACAGCTCTTGAAGGATACGACCAGTCAAAAGCACCTTAAACTACCATTTGTTCTTAATATCTTAGTTGTTATTGGCCACTAGCTAGCATTAAATGCCAAAACTATAGCCACATAGATAAACACAATAGTAATTTTACCTACAATAAATAACTGCACACCAATACGAAATCAACCAATGGCGATAACAGAATCTATTTTAAACAATAGCTGGACAAGACACTATTTTTCGTTATATTTTTTTCATAAACTTTCATTTTTTCTTTCGTTTGTTGGAGGTTGAACTAGATGAGCGTAGAAAGATAAGCAAATCACAGCTGAACCCATTACGTCTCAATGTGAACATACAGGTTCGCCTTAAAATGAGCCTAATCATTACTTGACAAATACCGCTAATATCAACAAACATATTGTAGTAAGGAGAATTCATGAGAATAATGGACTGAATTTGTCGCACGGGAAATAAGGAGAATTTACATATTGATACGAACGATTATCAGTTATATGAAAGAACTTTTAACTAGTTAGTACAGCGGCTGGTAAAAAAAATCTGCAAGTATCAAGTGGCCCGCACAACACCCATCATCAATGCAAAATTAATATAAAACTTTGGCAACGTGGTTCGTGAAAATAACGAAAGTACTCAACATAAATATGTTCCACTGTAGTAAAATACTATGGGAGCAGACCAGGTTTGATATTTTTCTTACAGACAACCCGGGCAATGAAGGGTAGATGATAAGAACTTGGCATTAGAGAGTTAACGCAACCACGAAGACGATGACAACGTGACGTCAACGTTTAAAGAGGATTTTCTGAGAAAAACAACACCTTTGCACGTGCATCACACTTTTTGGTACATTTCTTTGCCGTCACTGCATGACTACGACGTAAAAATGGCATAATTTCACGTTTTATGGAACTCGTAAATGAACGACGACGAATTTTTCTTCTTTTCTGATTCTTCTTAAATGCGGTGTCTATAAGATGACCATTTGCCCACATCCGACAAGCTAAAAGGGTTGGAATAATCGCGATGGAATTTGAAAGTGACGTTTTGTTCACTGCTGTTGTCGTCCAGGTTGCGTGAACCCCTTGTTATTAGCTAACAAAATGATAAAATGTATAACTACACTCTGTTGGTAAGAAAACGAATGAATGATAAAACGCAGGAAATAATATAATCATTGTTGCATCAATGAAATAAAACCTTCTCTGTAGGGTACATGCACTGTCGACCAACATCAAGACATCTTTGAACTCTTCATAAATATTCAACATTATGTAGTGGCTGGTAAGATCACTTTTTACTTCACGTAAGCACACAACAAAATGTGCTGAACGTAACACAATCTAACTATGTATAATTTGCACCTCACTACACCCCTATGGGGTTACTGTTTGTTGTCACACCCTGTGAGCTTGAAACACTTGACATTGTAGTAGCAGCAAGATTTTCTAGTTCTAAGGTGGCTCGATGCGCCATTTGTGTGAGAGCACTGGTAGCAACATCTTCAGCTGAGGCGGGCTCCCCATGGGAATTGCTTGTTATAACTCCATTGGTTTGTTCACCGACTTGGTGATCTATGCATTACAAAGAGTAAAGACGGAGGATAAGAGTAGTAATTTACATTTGGATCAGGTGCTAGTCTTTTTGGTGTATTATTACTCTGATAGCCGAGGATTGTTACAGGTCAAATGTGAAGTCTGCCTAATTTTTTTAAAACTAGCATTAAGGTAACTAAGAAGGTAAGGTAACCAGCCATCCATAATAATCCGTGATTAAATTCAATCTGTAATATATAGGTACATGTACTCATCTCACAGAGAAATCTAAAATGTCCCTGTGGAAAATTTCTTAAAATTTTAATAGGAAAGGAGGGGAAGATTGCTTTCTGAAGCCTAACTTTTTCAAGGAAAGCAAAAAAGCCTCACTCTAATATCCAGGGGAATGGAGGGGGGGGGGTGGTTAAACCATTTTACATTGCATCTGAAAAAGAAAACTACTTTGTGTACAAGGGTGTCAAATAATACATAAATACATGTACTTACTCAATAACTGTGAGTTTCGCTGTTGTGCTATTGTGACTGGACAGTCCTTGTGTGCTAAAAGAAGTGATTTCAGCTGTGCAACTTCTGTTCTTAAGAGAGCTATTTCACTCTGGCAAGAAAAATACAAAAAGCTGTAAGATTCAGAACAAAATGAAAACATAGAATCACAAGTCACAGTAGAGACTGGTAAAAGAGATGACAAGAGTAAATCAAATTGAAAAAGAATATTTATTTGTAATACATGTACTTAAAAGCTGAAAAGTTGTAGCATACAGCTGTGCATGACTACATGTATATCTTGCCAGCCAGGCTGGGGCAATGCACAAAATCTATCATCACAATGCAGAAACCACTTGTGTCTTTTTTTAGATTACAAAGGGTTTGACTGGACTGAAAATCAGACAATAGTGGTTTTATCTGATATCAAGATTAGTGCAATTGGCTTCAGCAGTAATTCCAGGCTCCTGAGTAGGACGGCCGGCCCACTGGGAGGATAAGTATTTGGTGCAAGTTAATTCAATAATAATAATAATAATAGTAATAATAGTTTCATTATTTACCCTCTGCAGTATTTTTAGCAGTATTTTTGGGGCCAAGCAAATACATGAAACAAATAATCTAAATCAAACATTACAGGGTTAAGAATCCCAACTGGCTGAAGGCAAACCAGCTGGCTATTTACGAGCACAGCGGATGATTTGAACTCAGGACTACCGTGAACAAATCCAGCTAGCAGTCCATTGCAAGTCCAGCACAAAACCACTTGGCCACACTGCCTCCTTAAAGGGAGGACAATGTTACAGGTGTGAGCTCCTTAGAGCTCCAGGTTAGAGAACTAAAACAACATTTTGCCTCACAGGGAAGCTGATATTATAAGTTATCATAAATTACACATGTACTCATGTTACATGTTACAGCGTATGAGGCATGCCTACCTGAAGATGGGCGTTTGTGTTAGTAAGGTCGTCAGCTTTTTTCTCGAGTTGCTGCACCCAAATTTTCCTTTTTTCCCTACACCTAGTAGCTGCGGCTCTGAAAGACAAGGCATCACAGGAATATCCATTATTTTGCAAAGCTGTAAAGGTTCTTGCCACTTATAATGCAGATGCATAGAGCAGTCAAGCAAGTACGTGTAACACTCTACAAAAATACGCTAATTTTTGAGTTTACTCACCGATTTCTCTCAAGAAAACGCTTTCTTCTCTCATCAGGGTCCAACTCATCTTGAGTTCTTCGTGGACGTTTTCTAAGAAAGGATGCCAGAATGTGTTTTAACAAGTGAAAAATGACTTGATTAGTCTGAGAAAGAGAAAAGAGTAAAAGACCTACAGCAGCAAACCAGGAAGGGCTGTACTCTAGCAGAACCTGCCAAACCCTTGGCAACTTGCTCCTGTCTTTGGCCTGCAAGTTATTTCTAGTTTCTGCAGTAGCAGAGGATGGCTGTTCAAGGCTTTTATTACCGATTAGTTAATGAGCCAATTATAAAATAATTTGATGAACACCTGACCAATATCGATTTAGTGACGTCACCACTATCGATAAACCAGAAGGTGTAGACTGGAAATGTCACAGGACAAGAAGTGGAATTGTTCCAACTGTCCCAATCAGAAAAGAGGATGACAGAAAATTAGCAATTTATCGATGTCATCACTGTCGATGGACCAAAATAAAATTTATCAACGTGATCACCATCGATGGACCAAAATAACTTCAGTGAAATCAAAAACTTGTGTTCCTACTGGCTGAAATTTGACATGTAAACTCGAATGCTGGGTACGCTCAATTTCATTTCCTTTCTAGCCAGTGACTTGGGCTCCTTCCAATTTATTGAAATTATACATTTGTGCTCTAGCAGCACCAGGTGACCCCTGGCGCCTAACTTTTGCTCCCAGGCAACTAAAGAATCTTTTTTTCTTTTTCATAGAAATCATACATTATACTGGGCAAGCTAGATTCTACAGGTTCAGAGCACTGGGTTCCCTTTCACTTTTATTGGAGCAAAGCCTTGCTCTTAGGGGGTGAGGGTAAGACAGTTTGAAGACACTGTCTCAATATATGCACCTAAAAGTTGGACTTACACATGTAGATGTCCAGGTTGTATATTGTACCAAAATAAACTTGATGGACACAAAGGAAAGTGTAGGACTATATTCAATCATAGGTTACATAATCACTATACTGGATAGGTTTTCATGCCAACAAGAAAAGCTATTCGGTACAGTATAAACAACAATGGCCAAAGGCCGCACAAGTCCTTCATACACATCGAACATCGTGCTGGCCTGGTTGGCCAACAGGGTTTGGTGTACTAAATTCCAGTCCACACTTATGAACATTTACTTCTTCTGAGTAGGTTCCAGTCTCTACTTCCACGACCGTCAGAATAGATGTTCACACAGCATCAAAGTATGGCACAAAAACCTATCCAATATGTGACAAGCCACTTTTGAGATGAGTGCGGTACAGCTTTGCTTCGTCACAGAATTCATGCCAAAATCACTGTTCATGTGTGTAGCATAAGCCCCATTGGGTTTGCTTTTCATGGTGGCTCAGTTTGAACATAGCTTATAGTCCTACAGAAGTGAACTTGCATGGAAATGAAAGGCAGTGTACTTACGAGGCCCCTGTCCCCCTCTTGCTGTCTTGTACACTCATGTTGCTATTAGCGACTATAGTAGTTGGGTGGTGTGAATGGTTCATGTGGCTTCCTGGACTTGGTATACCATTATGCTGTGATGTTACCATGTCAACAGCTTCTGTCATGGCGCGATGAATTATATTGCTGGAATTGGCAGCTTGCTGCTGTTGGTGGAGTTTGAGTTGCTCTTTGAGACGCTGAAAAAATCAATAAGAGGAAATTAGACCATTTGGCATCTAAATCTTTATGACAAGAGACTTCATGTATTGACATGCCCATGATTTTCCAAAAAAAAATGCTGAAATAAGGCATTCAAAAACTCAATGCTATTGTAAAATAAAAAAACAAAACAAAACAAATCAAAACATTGTCCAACATTTTCTACTGTCCTGTATAATAAATTATATACATTCTATGTAAACTAACACACACACTGTAGAAATGGTGCTATCAAAATAATCTATTAATATTCTCAACTTAGCAAAGAAACCCGCCAAAACCATGTGGTTCTGTTTGAGTTCAATGCATTTTATGACAATGACCATGAGTCTAAAAGAGTGCTGACAATGGAAAATTTTGCCACTTTATTTTGTCTATACACTGTAAAGTTGCATAAAGTTAATAGTATTGGTAATATTTGATCAGGGTAAATCAGCCGAGGCTGATAACACTTACCGAGACCTTGTTTATTTAGGATATCACTAAAACTCACTCTGAAAAAATTGTTTTTTAATACATTGTTTTGAAGAAAATAACAACATACACACCGTAGCAAGGAACCTGTATTGATATTGCTATTAGAAATCATGCAGCACGAGTGCAACCCACAGATTAGTCAATTATCTGGTAGAAGACAACTAACTAATCAGTAGGTTGTGCTGATTTCCAAAACTTCGGTAGCTGTAGGCTCCTAGCCAATGAGACGGCAGCTCATGAGTACAATGTACAATAAATAAAGTTGTTGATTGATTCATTTATTCTCCTTGTGAAAACAAACCTGTTTAGCACTTCCCATGAATGAAGGAGGACTACTGGCACTCGGGCTGACCACAATGGCAGGAGTGGGTATGGACGGGATTGGCATTGAGCTGCTGGATGATGAAATCACACGACTAGGGATGTGAGTAGGCACTGGAAGCGCTGATGGCACCTGAGCGTCAGGTGCCGCAATGGAGGCAGGGATTGCTAACGGGATGTGCGGGGGTACTCTCACAAGAACAGATACTGGAGCTGAGATGGCTGGAGCTTTTTTGGTTTCTGTAGTTACAATCTGGGGAGAAGGAGGTGCAGGAGGTGGTAGTAGAGTCTTAGATTGAGATTCGTCGATGACTATAACACTTTGTAATGGAGTTGCACTGTTTGGGGGTGAGCTCTGAGTTGAAGGTAGTTCAGTTGTTGTGTGAGCACTTGAAGGGTTTGGAGGCTGTGAATTACAATGGAAAACAATTTAATAAAAATCAGTTAACGGTAACTCAATGCGACTCCTACTTTGACTTAGTTGTTAACAAATTCTTCACTCCTAAAGTTGACTCGAAAAGTTATTGGGAGTTATCAAGTTATCACGTCATCAGGAGATTGAGTTATTGACATCACAACTTGGAATGCAAATTTATTGCACTGACACGTGTTGCAGTGTCAGTTTTCGTTTACTTTCTATGCAGAATTTCTTTTTGTTTGTCACAAAATTCCCTACCCCAATAAAACAATGTTTGTTGTGGAGGACTGTGTAGGAGGCTAAATCTACCAGTAATCTAAAGATCCTGAGTTTGTTTTTCACGGTGGTGAAAGTTTCCTGTTTGAAAGTACAGTAAATGAATGATTTTATTATTTTTCCCTCAAAATTTTTCTTTTCTGGTCCAAGAGTCTTTGAACTTTCTATTTACTCTGTGGGTGTTCCTCTTCTCTGCAATACTCGATTGTGAACTAAGATGTCAGTACATTGTAGTTATTATTTTAAGTAATAACTCTTTCACTGCTTATTATGTTACAATGGAAGCTCTGTGAGTGAACACCCTTAAGATGTGAAAAAGGTGTCCATAAAAATATAGACTTTGTATGGGGGTTGAGAAAAACAGGGTTTTGTGAAGGTGGCCGTAAGTAGAGCCGTCCGCTTACGAGAGTGTCCATGGGGAGAGTTTCCACTGTATGAAGATATTATTTCTCACTCCTATTCTAAAATCTGTGGAAAAATTCTATTCACTATTTTCACACAAACTATAATGCACCTTGTTCTCCCCCACCCAACCAAAAAGATATATATGCATAACCAAAATTTGGGAGGTGGGGGTAAACAAGGTACATTGTGGTCAATGGAAAAATGGTGAATAATGTTACCATTCAAATTAAACCTCTCTGGTAGATTGTTAGCATGGTACCATCTGTTTTTTTTAGGATTTTACCAAAGAAAACTAAAAATATATATAATTTTTTTTTTCTGTTCTTTCTCTTTGTGTGATCATCATTAGGAATGAAAGGAATAATATTGTTTTTGGTAATACCTTCTCTATTACATGTTCAGGTACAGTGGCTCTCTTGAAATCCTTAAATAAAATAAAGTACAATTACATGTCAATTAAATGGAACAGTTTTCACATTAATAGCATTATCTTATCCAAGTAGACTGCAGATAGCACACAACAAATTCAAGCCAAAGCAGTTTAAACTAACAATTCTTTTTGATACATGTAATACTGGTTGATAGTGGTTTGGTCTTTTCCTGTGCTGTTAGTGGCTGCAGCAACAGCAGTCACACTGCAAAATCACGTTAAGAGACATTATCATTGATAATATTACATATAATATCATACTGTGTAAAAACTGTGCATGTGCAAATTCTGTACATGTAGAAGTTTGACTTAGTGGTGGGCTCGGGTAAATGGCTAAAAGGAGAGAAGACACACCTGATCAAAAGGATTGTCTAAATCTACAAACAAGCCTTCCTCCTCACAGTTCCTTAAGAATCGTGTTGGTGTGGGTGTTTGATCTGGAAAAAAAAAAGAAACAAGTCAATAAATTATTACTTAAATGTACAGAGTACTGCTGACAAAGGCTGGCAACTAGAGCCAGTTGTTAAGGAGAATTGGCTCTGATAAGGGACCACATCATATACCTATCAAGGACATCACTACTGAGAGCTTTTACCAGAAAACCTTGGCTTAATAAGTTGTCGCCAATTTCCAATGATATTTTAAAAATGCTACAAAATTTCTCTATTACTGTAAAAGGTTTAAAGCCATGAGTCATTTCATAAGTGGGTGAGCATGATCACTCGGGTCAACGTAGTCCTCAATAAGGACGTTGTTGACAGTGACTGATGTTTCGACAACCTGTGTGATGACCAATAACGTCACAACTTAATTGACCAATAAGGTCAATAACCAGAGTTAAATACCATCAACTGACATGATACAACTCACTTTGACTCTGAAGATGACTACCAAACAGGTTGTTGAAACATCAGTTACTGTCAACCACAGTCCTATTGAGGACTACAATTACCTGGACGATCATGCTCCACCTACTTATGAAGTTTCCCTATTACCTTTTGCTTGATTCAGTTGGCATATGTATCAGCCAATGAATCATGCATTAGTGCTTATATACCCTGTATTCCCCTTAATTTGGTCAAGAAGTAGATGCCTTTCTTCAAATACTATCTGATTGGTCACTTATAAGAACTTCAAAATCAAAAGAACAAGGTGGCTTTCAGAAGTGGTTGCTGTTCTGTACAGAGTTCAAGTCACTGTTCAAAATGGGGTTTCACAAATCAATTCTGATATTCATTAGCCACTGATAAAGACCAAGAAATTTGGTCACCATATTCCAGGTAGACCTACCTTACTCTGAGATCATAACAGCAATATGTTATCAAGCAGATGATAAATAATCAGGTTGCACAATATTTTTGGGATACAAAATACTTTCTACCCACTCAGACAGGTTAATAATTATTTTTCCATCATTATAATCACAGATTAGTGGGCTATATTCCACTTTACAGCCCACTTATATTAAAAGTTTCCTTTCAATCCTGATTGAAACCACCCTGAGATCTAATACTGTTGTACATATAGAGAGTATCTTACCAGCCTGGTTTTTCAAGTTAGTTACTGTAAGCTTATAAGGAGCTTGGTTTCTTTCTTTAAACTTACATGTAAAAGCTTTAGGAAGAAATTCAGTACACAAATATTTTGTACAGGAACAATACAAACAGCAAAATCATTTACACACAGCTGCTTGGCATGTAACTACCCTCCACCCCCCACATGTAAAAGATACTCATCAGGAACTTTCCCTATCTCCCCTACACAAAATAAACAGCTCATAGACACTTGAAAACTTTTTTCCTATTGGTCATGACTTTGACACAGCTTTTCCCGTTTTTCCTGATTTGAGGGGAAATGGTGTTGACAAGGTTCTCTGATAAATGTTATGTATGCATTTGTGTAATCTTGATAAAAGTAGTCACAAAAATACAGATTTACGCTTAAATAACTCCATGAAGTGCGACTAAGTTTACAAAAATAAATGTTACTTAAGGTGAGGACAATATTCTCAAGTGGCTTTAGAAACATGTTCTCTATGTACACTTACACTGTATTAGAATGTATAATAAAAAATACTGTAGTAAGTCACTTAATCCATTTGTAAAATACAAAGTAAAACGAATGAAGCATGCATTGTTTACACGGTTCAAGATATTACAAAATGAAAATATAGGGTGCCAAATTTAGTCAACTGATAATTACAAATGTATCTCCTATCGATTTAACAATGCGGTTTTTAAAATAAGTTACCAAGATTTTCAGAGGAAAATGAACGCTCTATTATAACGGAGAACAATAAAACAGAGGCCTCGCAAATTCATTTACATGCATCAATGCGAAGTCTCACGTAGTCGATGCGACCAAAACGTGAGATTTCGCAAGAACGCCACAGAATTATTAAGAAAATTCAAACATTACCTGCAACAGAAAGATCTGTTCCCTTGAGCGCGCCGAATTTCAGTGTAAGCTGATGTTTCTGTTTGTGTCGTTCTAAATGATCGTTGTTAGCGAATCTCTGTGGACGCGAGGTGAAAAGTTAGCTGGCTGGCTAAATGAAAGCTTACGTAAGGCTTAAAATCTACTACAGGTGACGACATCGCTTTAAAATTAAACCAGTCGCCTCCAACTCCCCCAGGAAGAAACCCTTCACAGGAACTAGAAGCGAGAAGAAGATGCTTACCTGCCCGCATCCTGGCGCCGTACATTCAAACGGTTTGTCATCGCTATCCGACATGTTGAATCCGTCTTTCTTCATAAAGCCTTCGAAAGCCACTGCTTCTACCGACCTCAGATATCTTTAAACTTCCAGAAATTCAAACAGGCCATTCATAAGTTTCACTTTTGCCTTTCTGAATCTTTTAATGACAAAAAAGATGTAAATTTGCCATCCAAAAATAGTAAAATTTAGTGAAAGTTTTCTCCCTCGCGTCCATTCAATGCATATTTTTGTCACATGACGTAATTACAAGGAACAGGAGACGTGACGTCATGGGTAAGCCTCGTTCGGGTGTTGATTGCTGACAAAGACTTCCGCTTTCGAGTTTGTTCTGATTGGCTCTTTTGAACGGTAGCTTAATTAACAAATCTGACTTGTTTGAATTTGATTGGAGGAAAAATGTAGATCGGCGTGAATTTGAAAAATCCCCGCTCGAAGGGGTAAAAAAGCGTTCGGCAATTTATTCGTCATGCGAAACAACAGCGAACTGATCCTAGAGACGAGAGGAGAAAGAAGATTCGAAATATATATAAATTTTTTGACTTTGCTTGCTGATAGTGTCAAAGCTCTCGTACCAGGGGCCCGTTTCTCGAAATTCCCGATAATTAAAGGGCCCGTAAAGCTGTTGTTGTTTACATGCAAGGTAAAGGTTTCAATAGTTTTGCATCTAACATGATAAAACTATCAGTTAAGGAAACAAAATGGCGTTGTTTGCTAGCCAGAACCCGCGCTATTATTCTTTATATTTCGATTTGAAAATTTCATTTCGGGCCCGAAACGTTACCGGGGCTTTCGAGAAACGGGCCCCTGGAGCCGTACTGAGCGACCACCTCGGGAACCCATATATGAAACTGTTCTTGGTTAGATCGGAGTTGGTCATTTGCGAGAATGGGCTCTCGTAAGCGACCATGTGATAAATTTATTGAGGGCTAAAATTCAGGCTCAGTAGAAAAAAAATAATAAACTGATTACAGCCTTTTCGCCGGGGTCTTCTCGTTTTCCGCCATGTTGGAAAACGAGAAGACCCGGAGGACAAATACAAGGAGAAAGCTGTGAGTAGCCTGAGTATCAACCTGCCTTCATAATAAACGACTAAACAAGTTTTTCATAGATGCGGAACTAAATCGTAGATACTTTTGTTTTTTGGCCATCTTAGCTTAAGAAAAAACAAAAAGCGAACTGTGGAGATAAACATAAGGAAATATAAACGCACTTCGGGAAAGAAAAAAAAAGAGACTTTAACTTGACGTTTCGTATGTTCTAACAGAGGGGCGTAGCGTCCATATACGCACGTACGCCCGTGCGTACAGCTGAGATCTCAGAAAAAATTTTTTCTCATTAAATTTGCTGGCTAATAATTTCATATTTTCACATTATACTGGCGTTTTTCATTAGAATTCCCATTATCCAAGCATTAATCATTCAGTGCTGGCCACTAATAATGGCAAAATGCATTTGAGTGGTAAGCAAAAATAGGAAAAACGCCTCATGTACCCCTCCCTCAAGGTCAGCCAGCCTCACCAGTTTCCCCAGCCCCGCAGGTATTCTTGAAGGAGAGGTTACTATGCCATGACGTGTGGCTTTAGAACAAAACGTATTTGCCGTCAACGGAGATTAGGAATATACTTGTGAGGTCAAACAGTGAAACCCCAGTGATTGATTTTCCGAAGAAACTGTTAGAGAATCCTATGAATATTTCTGCGACTTGAGGAGCGTGATCACTGGCTTCTGTAGTGTTTTTGGTGTGTTTCGTGACACAGAGTACACACATATGGCTCGAAAATCGATACACGATTACTTCAACGTAATTAACAAGACAACTGAACAACGTGCAGAAGAAGCTGAAGGTACGTAGGCATAAATTCTGAGGATGAGTTTAAAACCGAAGTCACAAGATGGAAGAACAAATGGAGTGGCATGGATCCGAATGTGACGCCGCAGACTTTGGTTGAGACTCTTGACCACGCAAACTCCCAATTTTATCCCGGTATATATGTTGCTCTCGTAACATTGTTAACTTATGCTGTGTCTACATGCACTGCCGAACGTAGCTTCAGTAGCATAAAGAGACTAAAATTTCCTCCGCGAAGTACGATGACGGACGAAAGATTAAGCTCCCTAGCAATTCCTCATATACATAAACGTAAGAACGTGGATATTGACAGGTTGGTAACGGAGTTTGCCCGTGTTAAGGGTGGACGCCTCGCTCTTTGCTTGTGACCTGTCTTCATTGTTTTTGTATTGTTTTTTCTTTTCGGAACACTGTAGCTTACAGAAAACACTAGGGAAATGGTTAAAATAAACAACTTTCTACTGCATTTTTGTCGCATTATTTATTGAAAATGCCCCGCAGAAAAACCAGGAGATGGCATTTCCGAGACCCTAAATTTCAAAATTTTCTGGGGGAGCATGCCCCCAGACCCCCCTACTTGTAAGCGCCTTCGGCGCTTAGGAAAAATATATTCTCGTGCGTACATCTTCAAAATGCCACGCTACGCCCCTGTAACATACATCTTCAGAAGAAATAAACTGTTGAATGACAACAGAAATTAAATGTAGAATAAGCATACGACCAGTTGACTTGAATGGTCGGCAATAGCAGATGAGTGATTGCGACTCATAATGGATTTGAAGTGCTCCGTTTTCCGGTCATGCAATCTTCGTTTAGTTTTGCCTACGTAGATGCTAACTAGTCAGCAGCACCCAGGGACGGACTGTTCAAACGTTAGCCTGTTCACAAAACCTCTATTTTCTCTTCAAAGTCCGTCGAGCGCGCGTGATAAAAAATATTGACCCCCAGCGCAAAGGGGCAGGGGTGGGCGAAGAAGAAAATACACGTTTTTTTTATTTTTCTTTCTCGCGCACGTCGATGTTTTCCAAAACAACGAAAAGAAAAATAAAGCAACGTCTGTATACAGGCTGTTCAAACGTATTCAGAGGAATGGATGTCAACAATACCAATTTCAGCACTGAAGCACACACTACCAACTCCGCGGTATGGCCAGTACCCTTCATGCGCATAGCTGATATCACCCCGGCATTCTAGAAGTGACCCATTCTCTTTTCCAGACCACGTGCCCTCCTCCATCCTCGGAGACCCAGGGGCAGTCAGTCGGGCCGGGAGAAAAGGCGCGACGAAAGTTTTCAAGCACAGGTGGAAGAACCCCTGGGTACCGACTCTCACCGGACCGAAATCTTCACCGGCTAATTTAATTTACAGGTATGCCACTACAAATTAAATAAATAGAATAAGAAATAAAAATAAATAAGACAATATAAAAGCTGTTTACAATTAGAAATTAAGTTATCACACATGAAATACTATCAAAAATTATTTACAAAGTCGATTAGGAGGACGATTTGTAGATACTAAAGTAATGATTCGTTTGCTGATGGTTTTCTAAACGTTTTAAAGTCGGATGACGCTCTTAGGACATTATTTATGGGTAAATCAATTAACTTTGTGCTTCTGATTGGTTGAATCAAATTTTCCACGTAGCACGACATCTCATCAGAAGCACTACCCAGATCTGGGTAGTGGCGCGTCATAAGTATGGGATTTTTGCGCTCGTTTCTCAGACGTCATTTGGAGGGGAAACCAGTGGTAGCGTCCCCAAATGTCGGCTGTTTTCTCAGGCTTCATCAACAGTAACTCCAAGCATCTGTAGCGCCCGGGGGCGGGGGGAGGGGGTACTCTCTTATATGGCCTATACGGGGATGTGCCCCTGGACAGGGTATGGTATTTGAGTCCTAGACAGGGTATATAATTTTGTGCGAGTCTGTTCTAAACAGGGTATATAATTTCTTGTGAGTCTGGGGGTATTGTAGGTTATTAAGCGCATGGTTTGTTTCACGACGTTTTCACAACGAACACCGAGGCGCGCACAAAGCATGCTGGTAGTTTTATAAATTACAAAAGGATTGGAACGGACTGTTCCATTGTTGAGGATTAACCCAAACAAAGACATTCCTAGAAACAAAACATGGTACCAAAGATACGATTCAAAAGCCTGGGACGCCGTAAATGCGTTTTTATCCATAATAAAAAAAAAAAAACGAAAAGAAATGTCTTTTTTCAGTCTCTAGTCATAACCGCCGCTTGGTTATCTCAGTTGGGAGAACACCGGTCTGCCGAGCGGGAGGTAGTGGGTTCAAATCCCGGCCGGACCAATGACCAGGTGAGATGATGCTGGCTGCAGTGATTTGAGACCTTGTCTCAGTTGAAATGATCGCGTCATTGGGTGGTGACGTTTAGTTATTGGCCTTGTCTCCTTCATCCTTCTTTCATTAGTAAAATCAAAGGGGACGTAAAAGAACCCACACTCCTGCTCGCAAAGAGTAGGGTACGTTTCCCCAGTGGTGTGGTCTACCTTTCACGCATCACGTATTATTCATATCATGGGCTATAAATGGGTGGGTTACAGTGAGCTCATAAATGGACTGATAGCGATTGCCACTAGCGCACTTGTATGCTGACGTACGAGCTTGCTGTTAGCGTGTTACCAAGATAATAGGGACTTTAAGATCCAACGACGCGAAGGCAACGGCGACGAGAACGTCGCTTAAAAAGTTAATTTGCGTTCTTTCAGTCTTCATCGCAATAATTCCTAACCACTTTGTCAAATGTAGGCGAACCCTCCTGGAATGGAATTCCTAGGGACCATATCCAAGTTCAGAAAGAGAAATAAAATTTCGCCGTTGCTTGTTTACGTACTCCAGAAAACGCGAAATTAAGCAATTTCACGTAGTAGTCGTGCAAAAACGGGCAAAGAAATGTGCAAAAAAGCGTGCACGTGCAAAGTTGTTGTTTTGCTTATAAAAACTATTCTTTTTTTGACTTTCTGGTTGCCGTCCGCGTTGTTGGAACTTAAAGTCCCTAATGTAAAGAGGGCGCGTCGTGTTGTCCTCTAATCCTAGACATTACATTACATTACACAATTTATGACTGAGTTCCCTGCGAAAGCAAAAGTAACGACCTGAAGAGTCGATATCAAAACGGTCCACGTCGCGATATCAAACAAACATACACTGAATAGCAGTTATTGTTTTAAGTACACCACCATACAGCACCACTGAACAATCATATATCTCCTTTTAAATCGAAGTTATTGATTATGATTAAACTTTTCCATTTTCATGCTTTTCAAAAAGACAAACTCGAAAACTGAGGCCTGATGACTATCGAAGCAAACCGCTATGATTAGTTTTCCATAAAGAATCGTTATGTAAATAACGAGAACTGTTTCAGGCCATGTGAAGAGAAGAGGTCGTTATGTCACGTTGCCATGGTAGAAAAATTTCTGGGTCTCGACAAACCGTGGTTCAACAAATATGGCAGAAAAAAAGCGAAAAAAATTTACATTTATGACTTTCCCGTCCACGATTGCGCTGAGGAACAAAATGTTAACCCATAGTTTTCTTCCATCATCGACAATGCAAATGACCGTCTCTGTCAAGAAGAGATCTAGAAATTTTGCTACAATGGTAACGTGACGTTACACTTCTCTTCTCTATTATACATGTGGAATACTTCATGGAAAGTGTGCGAGGACGGTATTCAGCTAGGCAGCGAGTTGTTGAATCCGAAATGAAACAAGCGAGCGCAGCGAACGATCGAGTGAGACTTCTGATGCAAAGGCATGGGCTGCGTAAATACCGCACAAAGCGCTTTATATGTTGTATTGTGCTTATTATATACATACCCAGACATCTTTTTGTCAGCTTTTTGCTTCAAACTTGTCAAATCTTTCTCAAATGCTAAAATGCTAAAAGTTACCGCTACACACCTCGAAATGATAAAGAAAACAAGGTATACTAGTAAAGACGTGTGGTAAAAATTATAATGAGGGTAAGGATATGAGGTAATTCAGGAATTAATGTTTACGTTTTGTTCTGAAAGTACAATTGAGAATGAATGAATTTGAGTAAATTAAAATGGCCGGTAGATTTGAATATAAACAGAAGACAATGGCTCCGATAAAATGTACACATGATTTTTTCCCCCGGTGCCAAAAACATCGTTCGCTCCTCTGATTGGCTAGAACTCATTGGCATATGAAAATAATTTACGACATAGCTTTTCAGTGAGTATATCTCCGTATATATTTAACAATTATTCCTCGAGCCCGAATGGGCTCTGAGTCAATAGTCCATGAGGCCGAAGGCCGAATGGGCTATTAACTCAGAGGCCATGAGGGCGAGAGGAATAATTGTTTTAGTAAAATCTAACTAGTTGGTCAAAAATATCGAGAATAAAGAAATTTTAGCTAGTTAAAGCTAGACTTTAATCCTTTTTTGCCGCCAAAAAGCCCGCGCTTTTCGCTACTAGTGGGCTATAACATACAGCATAGTAGCAGCTCAACCAATCAGAACGCAGCATTGATAATAGACCACTAATTGGATTTTACTAAATAATAATAATACTTCATTGACCAATTAAATGCATTAAAATATTAACCTGATTTACATGTTCAAAAAACGAAGGGAATGGCTTAATTCATTTATGTTGCTCTTTCAGCAGAGAAAAACATCACCAAGCTATATATATATTTATATAACTGCCCTGTGTGAAAACAGAGGGGACCGCAGGGACCAAAAGCATTTATCCCGAATTACAAGGCGAGCGTGAGAGCAAGCAGGTCAACCACAGGCATGCAAGATCATCACACCACATCAAATACAGGGAGAAAGCTATGAAAAACACAACCTGCCTTTAAAGATCTTAACAGTGTTTTTTCATAGATGCTAACGAGTCATTCTAACTCGTTAGCAGCACTCAGGAACGAACTATTCAAACGTATTTAGAGAAAAGGTTGTCCACCGGCATTCTAGAAGTGTCCTCAGATCACGTGACTAAAAGAAATGACGGGCTCTGGGGACAAGAATGGAAACGATCCATCAATCTCCATCAATTCCAAGCTAAGAGCACATGCGCAGCATACACCTGCCCTCCTCGGGATTTTTTATCCATCCTGTAGCAATACTCCTCGGCTACACGTAGTGTAAATCATTTTTTTCTTGCTGCTCCCTTATGGTTTCAAAACCCTCCACCTTTAAACTTCACTTTGACTTCAAAGAATTGGGTTACCTCCTTTTAGCGAAACTTTTTTCGCATTTGGACAATCCAGATTGTTTGGATTTTCGTGCTAGCCGGAACAAAAATCTGAAATAAGATTCATCCATACAGCAGCAGCCTGCCACTCCTATCTTCTTCTCAATTTCAGCGCATCGGTTTTTACTTCTTTCTGCTAAAAGCATCTTCTCGTAGAGAAACGGAAAAAACTTGATTAGCTGTTTAACTAGTGGTAGTTCATACTGGAACTCATCAACTTAAAATTATCTGGAATTTGAGTCAAGAAAATTCAGAAGACAATTACGATTCTCAAGCCCTGAGAAGAGCGTTCTAAACACAAACAGACATTGGACAGTATATTTTTACAGTGAGAAAATCTAAGCGTTTTCACTTCCTAACGGATTTAGAGTGACGGTGGAACTTAGCGGCATAGAGCAACGGGGGAATATAAATAACTTTTGCCTGAACTAACCTTGACCCACCATGTTTACTGATGAACGAGCACTTTTTTGCGATCGAAAAGCGGTTTCATTAAATGCAACAAAGATCTGAAACCAGATTGAGATACCAACCTGAACGATCCACATTCAGAGGTAGATCGTTCCGATTGCAATCTTAGATTGGTTTGGTCCTTAATGAAACAAAAAAATCGAATTTTCGATCGCAAAATCCAGATTTAGATTGGCTAAAAGGAATGCAAACTTGGTTAATCCAGGAACAAAATTTTCTAAGTTCATCTTGACATAGCCTGTCACGCAGGCTAATCTTGACAGTTCTATTTTTTACATGAGAACTGATCCCTGTCTGTTTCAAGAACTAAGGATAACGTAACAACTTGAAATAATTCCAAGCACCGAAAGGAGAAGGAGATTATTAAGTCCTGGCCACAAAAGATTACCCTGAATCAAAAGTTTGTAAACTGATGAAGCCGGTAAAAATCAAAGTAAAGAGAACTAAAAATCAAATTAAATTTACAAATTTGAAATGGACAAAATAAACGCAAAGGTTCAACCTTTTTATTCCTTTAATATTCAGCTTTTATAACTCGCTATTAATGAACATTTCAGTATCACATAGGTAAAGGACAAGAGAATTTTTAACTGAATTTACGAGTAACTTTCTATTCAACCAAGAGACTATAAAGGGGACAGAGAGGGGATCCCCCATATACACCCTATTCCATAGGTAATTCGTCTCGAGTTATTTTTAGAATCGGGATAAAGTTACCTCGCGCGAGGCGTGGATGTTTCGTGGAGGTTTCGCATGACTAAACGCCGTGCAAAACATGTCGGGCGAAACGCAATGAAAGCGTAAAAAGATCGAGAGCATTCCCGAATATTGAAGCGAAATGAGTCGGCGCTCACCTGGGAAAAAGGAATCGCTGGACTCTTTGACAACCCGTGAAATCAGTTTAACTCGAAGTTGTCGTAACCTCAGTGCTTTAATAAAATGAGAAATTTCGCCGGTCTATTGAAACTGGTCGTTTGTACAGTAGGGAGTTTAAGATCCAACGACGCGGGCGACAACTAGAACGTCAAAAAAACAGTAGGTTTAATTAGCAAAACAACAACTTCGCACGTGCAACACACTTTTTTGTTCATTTCTTTCCTGTTTTTGCACGACTACGACGTGAAAATGCCTAATTTCGCGTTTTATGGAGGACGTAAACAAGCAATGACGAAATTTTATGTCTCTTTCTGAGCTTGAATATTGTCCCTTGAAATTCAGCTTCAGAAGGGTTCGCCTACAATTGACAAAGTAAGTGGGTGGGAATAATCGCTATAAAGACTGAAAAAACTCAAATTCACTTTTTAAGCGACGTTCTTCTCGCCGTTGCGCCGTTGGATCGTAAAGTCCCTATAAGGCAAGTAGGACGCCAAGTGTTATTTTTGTTGAATAATAAAAGACTAATAAAGGAATAAATATCAAACCAGAAATTGCTCTCTTCAAAATGTAAATTATAAATGATCCTGAGAGAATATTCAGTGTGTTAAGGATTTCCCTGCTGTACTGTTAGCTCTATACAAGAGAGGAAGGGCGATTCTTTCTTAATTTCCGTTTCGCTGACACAGCTTTCGCAGAAATCTCGCTGTAGTCGTTTTCGTCTACAAAAGGAATAGCAAAATCGCTCTTCGCGTCTTCCCCCATTTAGTTCCGCGTCAATTCGTGGAGGACGCGTGGCTCTAGTATGGGTCGTCCACACGGAATACATTCGCGCTATGTGATTGGCTGTTGTCCAATCCCCCTTGGGATCTGCGATTCTAAAAATAACTCGAGACGAATTACCTACGGAATAGGGTGCATATGGGGGATGCCCTCTCTGTCCTCTTTATAGTCTCTTGATTCAACTGATTTATTACATACATTTTACGTCGCTACCTCCTCAGTTTAATTACATGTTAACGTCCTGTGAACCACGTGGTTTACTTTAAGTAAGTCAAGTAACTAAGAACTTATTGCCACTGCTAAAGAACATTGATTTTCCTGAATATAATTGTTATTTAATTTCCAATCGGCTGCTCTGTTTCTTGATTTGACCAGTTCAGTTCTTCAGCTCCTTGCGCATGCTCTGCTTCAAGTCTGGCCACAACGTTTGGCGATTTAAAGAATCTCATCTCAATTTCCTCGGCTTTAGCGAGATTAGCAGTTTTACACAATATTTCGATAAAAGCAACGCGAAACTCTCGAATTTTGATAGAATAAAGAATTGGGTTAATAACAGAGTTCAGTAAAACTACAGAACCGGACGAAAAGATGACGATGTATGTGGTGTCTAAAGATATTCCGTTCTCGGGGATGTACTTATCTAAAATAATTCTACTTATAATTGTTGGCAGGTAACACAGGAATAAAACTATCACAATCTGGGTTGTTACTTTAAAAGCTTTTTTATCTTTTAGAAATTTTTCTCTTATCTCTTGTGTTACTTGGTGATTGGCAATTTGCTGTTTATGCCTGAGGGTTTCACGGTATACTATAACATTACACCAAACTATGACGACGATGCAAAAACACTTAAATGCGTTAGTGATGGAGAGAAACACGCTCATATATACTGTAAAGGTATAGTACCATAAAATATGAATAATCAGTGAAAATGTCCATGCCACTGCAGAGGCAATCAGCAACTTAGTCTCGGTAATAACAAAAGTATAAGCAAAAGGGTGTTTTACAGCAATATACCGCTCCAAGCTTATCATCGCAACATGGGCTAGTGAGACATCAAGAAGACTGCCCATTAAGAGTCTTATATATTTTAAGAAAAAAAATGGGCATATTTCAGTCTTGTAGTTGATTAAGATCACTACTAACCAGGCGACTGTGGCAGGCTGAATTAAAATGCCAACTGTAAAATCCGTAGTAGCTAACAGAGCGATCGCGATATTGGACTTGTGAGCCCTCAGTCGTCGTTTAGTTTTCACGGCGAACATCACCAGCGCGTTCAAGAAGGCGGTGAAGGGAAAAGTGAAGACGTTGATAATTATGTTGACAACGAAGACAACTTGAGCACCAAGGGAAGGGTTTTTCATTTTTCCCCCCCAGAGGATGTAGACTAGACATTCATTTTGGATGGCTTCGCTTGAGTTGTTCATGGCTTCTTTCTTCTCTCGTGGTATAGTCCCCGGTCAGTCAGCTGCTTTCAATGCAACTCTTCTTTCGTGCTGCTTCGAGAAATTGCATTTCACTTCTCACTCTCTTATAGCCGATGATTATACAGTGATTTCAATGGATTTTCATTTTTAATACGTATAGATCAGAGCGGTTTTTATTAATGCTTGTTGATAAGGCCAAGTGATCTGTGCGGCTAATTGCAGCCGGCTTCCTCTAAGGCTTAATCAAAACCGGTGACTTTAATTTGCAAAGCGCAAGTGAGCTATGTTCGTCGGTTGTGGTAGGTGACTACGGAAAGTGTTGACAACAGCTGACTATTCAGTAATTATAAGAAAAACTAGCCGAGTATAGTTCCGCAAGAAGAAAGTAATCGCTAATACACACGGTAAAAAAGTTCTCTGTGTAAGTCTCTCAAATCCAGAGATCACGTACGTAGTATTTCAATTTATTTCTCCAAGAAAGCATGCTTTCAAATAAAAGTATTATTTTCTTTGAATACAATGCGGTTTTTCTTTGAGTATAGTAGACAAATTCAAAAGCAAAGTAATCTCAATCGAAAATTGCAATGGCTTTTCTCAGTGTTCTATGTTCAGGAGGAAACGTAAAAAAAACTTGAAGCGAATGTTTTTGGTGATCATGAATCAGTTAAGGCGGTCGAAATTGCAATTTGGTTGTCCCGATCAGCTGGTTGAAATGGGTGTTGTTTGCATGAACGTATGTAATGGTTTGACTTAACGACAACTGTCGATTTTACACACGATCAAAATTAATATTTTGTTCAATTATTGTTATTGGTCTTCATAAATCAAGAGATTATGAGTTAATTTAAAAAACGGCACGTTTTTATCCTGACAATTTCTTTTAATATAGCCTTTTTAATGATGTTTTTGATTTTTAATTTTGTTTTACAATCAGATTTTAATTTTTTACCGTATGAACTGAATTTGCTGTTTACAAATCATATCAAGAAAACCTTTATATCCTAAAAGCAAAATATTATTTTACGTTCGCTAGACGAGAGATCTAGAATTTTCGGAACATTTGTTGTAAAATTTCTTGCTTGAGATTAATAAGAAATTTCGGACATCTAAAAAATGGTATGTTTTTCACCAAAAAAGGTCACCTAGAATCATATCAAAAAGAAAACCTCTCACTTGGCTTTCAGCTGGGACGATCCTAAAGATGAAAAACATTTGGGAAAAAATATGCATGGTTTAAATACCAAAATTCTATGTTTAAGTGGTTTTGAACTATTGATTCCCTGAAACATTTAAAATTCACTTTAAAAGCCTAAGAGGCCTTTTAGTCACTGATTTTTTTCCATAATGAAACAAAAAGGAAAAGAAGTGTCTTCTAGACGTAACAACACATAGTTGAGTTTACTGCGAAAGCAAAAGTAACGAGGTCTTCCCAGGCGGGGGTTTTGGGGAAAAAGGGAACATTGGCAAAATATCGAAGGGAACAAGGGAACATGAGCCTATTTTTAGGGAACAGGGGAACAAAACTGTACAAATTAGAGGATCAAAACATTTTGATATAAAAAATAAATAGCGTTATTTCTGAGATTTTATTTATGGTTATTTATGCACCACTGTCATTCGTTTTGTCTACTTTACACAAGAGATCATAATTTTTTTTGGATTTGTTTGTTTGTGTTCAGAAAAGACAATCAGTTCAGTGACCGCACAACAGTTCAATAACCACGCCAGCAGTTCAATGACCACACAAGTAGTTCTACATGCAGCTGGGGGAAACAGCCACTAATACCTAGGATTTTTTAATGTAAATGTGTAGCATTAACTAAGTGGTAAATACTCATTTAGCGATGACACAAAAACCAAACTTAGAAATATAGCTATGACACAATGCTATTTAGTTCTAGTGAGCTCACTAAAGAAAACAGGAACATCGGCTGATGGCAATTTCAATTCAAAAGTCAAATAGGACCAGTTATAATCTTCTGGACTGGTACACATCATTTTATCAAGTTTCATTGCGGAATAAAGTAGGTTAGGTTCCTTTACTAGCCAGGGAATCACATTAGGAAAATTCATAAAAATAATGGTTTTCTGTCGTCGAACAGGCAATCGTGAAACAAATATACTATGGTTTCATCGGCTAAACTTACTATATTATCAAAGTATCATGAGACTAGCCGGCCAAAGGGCTAATAAAGATTAAAAAAAAGAAGAGATAATACGGAAAAAAGGACAAAGAAAATATAAAAGTGGATATAATAATCAATTCTTTTTATACTTGTGACGCACAATTCGCATGTGTATTTAACCAAACAAAAATCGTATAGTTCTCGGAATAAAGATCTCTTGCATATGTTTATTAAATGCACTTTTAGATAATATTCACAATACAGATTTACTCTATATCCACTTACGGTAAGTTTAATTTCGCCAATAATGTATTTTTAGAAGTACGCTGTCGTTGGGGATAGTAGAGAAGTTTGCTAATTGACACCAAACAGGCCGCTTCGTGGTCAAAAATTACAACTGTCCTTTCTATTCGCAATAAGAAGGAATCCTTCCAGTATTTTTCTCACCCAGAGCTTCAAAATGATATGTGTAGTTGTTTCTTTATATTTGTCGAAACTTAACTGAAACTCAGGGTAATACGTGCAATCGACATTATACTTGGCCAGTCGACTGATATAAGCCCCTCTTATTATTCATTCAAAATATTTCCCCGATTCTGATTGGCTAAAAGCACACGCATAATTAATTCACCATAACCAGCTACTGATGACCAAATCTGGAAGAATTTTGCGTTTAATGAACCGATGACGTCAAAAATGCAGCTGTCTTGCAAGTTAATGCACCTTTAACCGAGAAAACCTGGAGACGAGGTTGAATTGTTTTGGTTGTGAAAAAAAAAAGTCAGACATTTCACTCGTTTCAAGAGTAAAAACTGGGCGAAATAATAGCTAAAAACATGACAAGAACAGCAAGAAGACAACTTGAAGGGCGACATCTGCTATTTGCAGAATATTTGCGGAGCTGAGCAACCCTAAACGTGCACTATCGAAGATGAACTTAACTTCGATGGATCGATGGAGGTAAGCATGTGTTAGCCATGTCTTTAAACTAGGAATTATTTTGAATGAATAATAAAACAATTATTGAATTCGGCTTTCGTGTCATATGAAGAATTATGGAGATCTCGGAGGGTGTTAACTTCCTCCTCGATCTCCATAATTCTTCATAAGATACTCAGCCTCATTCATTAATGTTAATTATCAAAAGAAAGTACGAATATAATTGAAACATCGCTTTCAACTGATTTCGTTTGTCATAGCAACCGCATAACGGCCACCAAAAGCACTATATTACAGTTTTCTTTGCGAAAAACCTTTTTCTATATAGGGACTGGACACACAATAAAGCATTGTCGGTTTTGCGCACGCGTAGTATGTTTTGCTCTATGTGCCTAGGAAGCAGCATGTGTATAAAAAGGCGGCAAGATGCAGTAAGGTTTTTGGTCAGCGGTAAAATTTGCATTAAATTTTTTTGGCTAAGGGCTTGCTACTGGTTCACAGGTAAGCAGCGAAATTTGTCGAAGGCTAAGCTGCAGGAGTGGAACGAGATTTTACAGCTGGATTACCACTCAAAATAATTTCAGGGATGAACTGGCATTCTATATCTACTCAGTGAAAGCAGCATTCGTATATGCCATTGTACCCTGTGTCCAGTCTTAACCTCTTTAAAATTAAGCTTCTCAAATAAAAATGAAATAAAATATCCCAGATTACTTTAGATCTAAAATTTCCATGCCACTGAAATGAGAAGTTTATGCCTAGCACGAGAGTTGTCTAGTTTAATATCGGGATTACCCAGTTAGCAAGAGCTACCTTTCTGCGTTATATGCACCGACAAAAAGTAGCCATTGCTAACAGGTTTTAGTAAAATCCAACTAGTGATCTATTATCAATGCTGCGTTCTGATTGGTTGAGCTACTACTAGGCTCTAGTAAAAAGCGCGGGCTTTTTTGGCGGCAAAAAAGTATTAAAGTCTAGCTTTAACTAGGTAATATTTTTTTATTCTCGATATTTTTGACCAACTAGTTGGATTTTACTAAAACAATTATTCCTCTCGCCCTCATGGTCTTTAAGTCAATAGCCCATTCGGCCTTCGGCCTTCGAGTCGAAAGGTGCCCCGTCATTGTTTCTGGCATCGTTACTCGTGACTGGCGGCGTCAGCTATTGGTTAATATTTTCCTATGTCCCTATTAACGGTCCCAGAAGCCTTAGCGTAGGTTAACTCAGCCCCAGTCTCCTTCTCGTTTCCAAAGTGGCGAATATGGAAACTTTTATAATAATGACAGTATCCAAATCTTACTGTTTTAACAAAGACCAATAAACCGTAATAACAAGTTACAGCCTATTGGAGGAATATGGCTTCCCGTCATGCACAATAATTTTATACAGTGTTGAATAAACAATTCCTCTTTATACCTGGGGATTTCCCTTTAGTCCGGCCATATTGTCGGACTGTGTCCGGTAAACATTATATACAAATCGCACATCAGAAGCTATTTCCTTCAAAGGAAAAACATCGCAATAAATGTTAAGAAGCTGACACCCAATGCGCCCCAGCCTATTTTGACCACGTGACCGGCATTCCAGAACGAAAATGAAGTAGTGCCGTCATGATGAGACATTGAGTTACATCCACTCCATTGACAACATGTAAAACAGTGCTTCTCGTGAGCTAAAGAGGTAGAAACACTAGGGTAAGTCTAGATAAGAACGCGCGTACTATTGTAGCCATATAATGATAAATAATAATCAGTACTGTTAGTGCGCTGGGTTGAGACTTATTTTAATAAGGGAGTGGACCAGAATTTAGGAAAGATCCTTGGATTCAGTAACATCAATGAGCTGCTTAACATATTGGGAACGGTGCACATTAACTAAAAAAGAAGATTTCTCTCCATCCAGTAAAACAAAATACCCCTTTAACACCTCAGGGCCAGGGAATGTTCCCAGTTCTTACAGAGTACAAGAAGCAATTTATAGTGCTAGGAATAATAATAATCATCATCATCATCATCATCTTAATTATGATAATAAATGTTCTTTAGCCAGGGTCACTTTCTCAGAATGACGTGCCATTTTTACTAGTGAGGACCCTGGAGAAGATTAGTGATTGCTGTGGGTGCCTAGGAAGATATACTTTATATTTCCCCAGGCTGGTTGTGGACCACGGGCAGCGCCGGAATATTCCAAGTGCTCATTAGTATGTAGCAGATTTAGGATGCGTGTTACATGTGTCTGAGCCTTAAGAAAACGACCCCTAATGCATTTCAGGATGACACTCTCCGAGGCTAATACACAGTAGTCAGAACACCCTCCCCGGCAGAATTGTGGGATATCACTGAAGAATCAAACCATTTCCAAGTTGTCTCAAACCTCTGTTTAGAACGAGATTATAGTAAGTGCATACGAAGCCTTCAACTGGAAAATCCGTGTTTCTTCTACTGCAAATTCAACTCATGTCCACAAAAAGGTCTTGCACTTGGCCTTACTTTGAAAGTCTGAGCTCAAACGGAGCAATCTGAAGTGATAGCCTGAATTTGAGACGATTACTTCGAGTCTTTTTTACTGTAATGAGGGGGTAAAAGCGACTTGAAGTAATCTTCTGAAATTCAGGCTATCTGAAGTGGGTGACTTAGATTTAAATTTAACATCAAATGTTATTTACGTATAGTAAACAGCGAGGTAAGTTTTTAGGGAGGAAACGATTAGTAACAAAAAAAAAGTTGAGTTAAACAGAAAAAAATTAATTTAAAGATACAGGTTTGCATAACGATAGGAAAGCATGATTCTAAAAAAACGACCCCGCCAGGATTCGAACCTGGAATCCCCTGATTCGTAGTCAGATGCCTTATCCGTTGGGCCACGGGGCCTTGTACGGAGAGAACTTTTTCTTTATTCGCGAAAATCTTCAAATTGAAAAAAGTGAACAACAACACCAACATTAACCAGGATTTCACCCATAAAAGCTAACGTTTGTCATGTGCAACTACTTTACAAGTTTTCTTTTTAGGCTTTATCCTGTGCATTGACCACGTTGTCTGCGAAAATGTGAAGATAACAGACCAATAAAAAAGTATGTAAAGTGGTCATGCTCCATTAAAAAAAAACACACACACACACACCATGCCCCTAAATCCCGTATGATTTTCCCCATCTCAGGGTAACCGCAACAGGCCTTTATTTGACTTTACCCGTGCTTGTACAGTCCTTTTTGGCAATGACTTCAGGCCTTTTTAAGTCTGGAATCGGACAGTCGAAATTATATCTTTGGCTATCGTAACTACAGTTGATTAACATTGTTTGGATAGTCACCAGAAATTGCCACTTATTGACTACAATCATTTATAGAATGAAACTGCTTCCCTGTTTCAGTGGAACAACGGGATAACCGAAAGATGCCTTTATCTGACTTTATCTTTGCTTTTTTTTTGTTTGTGTTTGTGTTCTTGCTTTTTATTCTTTTTGACGTAGTCGAAATATCGTTAGCTATTGTGACTACAGTCGATTCTTCATTTATCTTATAAATCCAGGGGTGATGCGATATTCTTGTATTCACTCCTCAAACTGCAAATTAAAACACTACATAAAGTTCACTCAAAAACTATATAACCCGCTTACCTTTGCAAGGTTTGGCCCGAGCCCTTTGACACTGCTTATGGTTAGCACATCCCATGTTATAATGAACTATGTTATCTCTCTTTATGCTCTTGGTGAAGCAGATGTTGGATAATCCACTGTCGCATCTTTTCAGCGTGCGTTTATGAGTACATTCCTCGTAGGTGGAGTTCTTAGGGCAGTGATGGCACATGGGATACATTTCGTGGGCTGGATGGTTGACGCTACCATGTTGGTACGTCAGGTCTACGTCATCTTCAGGAGGTGCGTCCTTGGAATGGGTCAGGTTCCCTTCAACTGATTGGATAATAAAGCAGAAGTGGTAAGTCAAAGGGAACACAAATTCATTACAATGTTCTAATGGACCCTAGGGATGTACCCCACTATAATGGCCTATACGGGAGATTCACCTAGGAGGAGGAACCTTTTTCAGAGTTCAGATATAAGGGTAACAATTTCACTAGTTGAAGGATCAACCTCGTTCTCAGGTAGGAGAGAACCCTGGGAACGAGATTGGTTGAAGGATATGAAAGGATAAGGAAATCTGTCATTGTGGTCCGTGAAAGGACGTGTTATATCGCTTTGAAAAAGTCAACAAACTTCCAAGACAATGAATTTACAGCGGTTAAAAGAGATGCAGTGTTTTAAACTAGACATGTGAAAAGGGTACCATTTGCCAATAGAAGGTATATGGAAAGGGATACATTTTCTGCCAAAAATGGTATATAAAAGGGTAAGGGGTTGCATCTGGGGGGGGGGACTCCTCGTATAAAACTTTGTTGAATGCCCCATCCCCTTCCCCTGCTGAGCAATGGACAAAGAAGAACGCCACAATATCATTACATCCGACAGACAGGATAATGCAAAATGTAATAAATGTTACGAATATGCAACGATCAAGAAAAGCTGCAGGCCACTAAAAATGGGTGAAAACGCATGGTTAAGAAATGTTGGGCCCCTGCCGACATACAAAACCGCGGTTTTATAGCTAAGAACCACTACCACTCTACAAGCAACGCTGCGCATCAAAATCGAGTGAAAAACGCCAACGCTACATATGGCCAGCTGCTGAGACCGACTAACAGTTAACAATGATTGAAAAAGTTAAAGGATCGTAGCAGCGACAAAACTATAATTATGATCATTGCTGACGAAATGCTGCCACTTCTCCAAAGCAGCTCTGCAAACCACGCAAAATATGACACTATAGCGCTGTAGTTAACTAATATGCATGGCTAACAACCTGGCATATTTTTAATAAATCCAACTGAAAATTCTCTTCACAGTTATTTTGGGATTCATTATATAACGTTTTCGGCTGCTCTTTTCAAAACAAATCATCCACAGCCGAGCTAATGAATAGCCAGCATCCTGACAATTTAGGCGCCGTCCAAACGTAGCCGTTTATGTCTGAAAACGGAGATTTCTTTCTCCAGTTTGGCTTAACATCCACACGTATCTGATGAAAACGTCAACAAAAACACACTTTTTTTTTTAAAAAAACGCTCTCCAGAATGGAGAGCGTCTTTCGTTCACGTGGACGGGAAAGTTTTCGAAAACGATGAGTGTCATGCATCATACCGCGGCCAATGCCCTAGAAGGGATGCTATCATATTTCCATTGTTTTAGCGTTTTGTGTGGACGGGCAAAAACGATTTGAATCGGCTAGGTGTGGACGCGTATTTTTCAAAAATGGAGAAGAAACTTCTTTTCAAAAATATCCAGAAACGTGTGGACAAGGCCTCAAGTTTACGCCTTAAAGGAAGGACGACTATCTTGCTTGACCTATTTACATGGAAGTTTAGGGAAGATTTTATACCAATACCTAACAAATATCAGAAACAGAATACATAATATAATACGGGAAAAAGGAGCTTCAGGTTTCAGTGAAGAAGAGATCTTTACGACAGATCTTCCAATCTAAGGTTTAGCGCATTTAAGTATCACAACCCTACAGCTGCATCCACTGTTTTAAGAAACACCAGGGATAGTTACCTTTAGTGCTATTTAGCTTTTTCTTATCATGTTGGGTGATGTGGCTAGTCTTGTTTCCTTTACTTTCTGACGACTCAACAGTCTGCTTATGGGGAAACAGGAAGAAGGAAATGGTATAGGGGTGAGGCTCTTCCTCCGTGACGTCATTTCCGGTTGTCCGTTCTGCTTGCTGTGCGTCAATGACTTGTGAAATGAAATAACAAGATGTTACGTCGCCTAATGTAGTCTGTTTTGTACTACTGTTGTCATGCTAAACGTGAAATGCGTGCCTGCAATTCAGGCGTTTCTTGGCGATCGTCAGTCACAGAAAGCGTAGCGTCTTTGGATCAGTCTCAGAGGAAAATACAGTTTGAATCCCAATTCCTTACCCCTGTTTCAACGTTTTGTCTTGCGTCAAGAAACCCCCAGATTGCAGACAGCTAGGAAACCCACTGTAGCACGGCATTACTTACATACTTAGAAAGTAAGCGAGCTGATACTTGCATGTTTAAATTGGGAATGAGGCTCTTATAATTTTTAGATCTCAGCAGAAAAAACTTTCCGGCTTTCTAGTCTCAATCGATGCAATCACACCAGACATTCTTAAGTTTAACTAGGTCAAGATTACTACGAAGAACATCTTAATTCTACACCTAGCAGGAACAGTTCCAAGATCTTTTTTATTAGAGGGTTTTAAAGTTATACACATCTCATCTCCTGCTGTGGTAAACCTATTCGACAGACGAAAAGGCAGGGAGGCCAATAACAGAACCCTGAGGAACAGGGCGATGAGACACTGCCCGATCAAGAACTACCTGTTGTGTCCTATTTGACAAATCACTTTTATTCAAGTTCAAGAAGTTTAGTTTGATTGTTTTTAGATCCGTTAATGGAGCGCGTGATTGGATGTTTGGTTCCACTTTCCGACAGAAGAGATATTCACACGCTAATTACAATTTTTTGTTTTCAACACCGTTTTTGATTTCAAGATAAAAAAAAAATCACATTTAAACCAAGCTGTTCTGTATGTTAGTCTCCTTCAGTCAGATTCAAATAATGACTTTATCTCGCTTAGCTTCGGCCACTGTATCAGTATGTCGCTTTCTTTACAGTAGCCTCCATTTTTTCCATACTGCTTAGGAGAGAGAATAAAACAAGGAGGAGTTCGTTTAATCTGAAGCAGATAGGAGGACTAGAAGAAATGCTATAATAAAAACTGTTAAAAAACAAACAAACAAACAAACAAACAAATCCTGTTTGTGAACTTAGATGTTAGGGAGACAAACGGAGCTTACAAATATAAAAAGCAGAGCACCGCTGAGGCAACTGTTGCGTTATAAAATTCAGCTACTCGAAAATGTCTCACACTATTACAACTTGTAACTCGATCTATTGAACTAAATCTGAAAACACATAATTGATTGAATTTTGGACTGCAAATGTAAACACCTGGGGTGAACGTCTGTTTTATCACACTGAGCTACGAGTCCCGCGACTGGTAAGCTTTGCAAGAGTTTGCTACTTTTGCTATTCCTTTCCACCGGGAAAAAGTGGGATTTGCAAAACGTCTTTTTAATTAAAGTTATTTCATAGATTTGGAGTTAATAAAGCGTGGCTAACTTCAAGTAGGAATCTTGAATTTGATAATTACGTCATGTGGCGAGTATTTTTGCAACTATCAAAGCTCGTTTGAAGATACAATTTACGACGTGGGATATCAAGTTAACGGATTACATATAGACAATGCTCTTGATGAAATGGCTAGTGTCAAAATAAAATAACGGTTTGTAGTCATATCTTATCGAAAAGCACAAGTCAGGATATCCGTACGGGAAAATGACAACTGTGTATTTCCTTCCGCGACATTGCATCACTTACAACCAGGGTAAACTGTTGGGGTATCTAACCCATGAAAAAATGAATATAACATAAAGAATTCGTCAATTAACCCCAAAAAACTTGGTACTCACCTAATGCGAGGCAAAGAAGCGACCAGGCGAGAAACAGACGGCTCATAGCAGCCTATTTAGAACCTAAAATGGCAGAATAACAAGCAAGGAACGGTTAGACGGTCGACTTATTGCCTGTGACCTTTAGAGCGTGCAAGCGGCAAGTAGAAGCGCTGGTACCGGTAAAGGTCAGTTGTCCTTGACTCTCGCCTCGTTTAATTGTCCCAAATCAAATTCTTCTCACGTTAAATAAGTGTACTTTTTGAATGGTGTCTGTGAGAGGCTATTGGTGGTCTTACAAGAAAGGTGCAAAAAGAAGTTTTAACTGATGCTTAACTTATTAATGTAGGTACTTCTTTCTGAGAAGGGAAACAATCATCGATGTCTTGGAGTAATTTGAACTCTTAGTTTGAAGTCAAAGAAACGGTTTTATGCAAAATGATTAGAGTGCTGGACACAGGGTTAGTAAAATTCTGGTCAAACAACATTCCAGCTTAAGATTACAAGATCTTTACTTGTATAAATTTTTCCTTACAACGTTCGACCAATGATAAATTGCAAATTGTTGCTGGGATGAAGAAAGTAATGATCAAAAAGCATGTCACGAGCAAGAAGCCCGCAGGTACTCCTGGCGGAAACTTCGGGTGGGGGAATATGAGGCATGATTCCAGAACCCGTTGCCCTATTAGACATCAAAAGTACGCCCCCCTTTCATTTCAGACCTCAATCAGGCTGTTCTCAACTAAAAAGAGTAAAAGAAAAACCATCCAATTCCATTTATGATTTCCAGAAAGCACAAAACATCATCCTGTTTCAAACGTCAGAGCTAAACCTGTGAAATTTATAAGCAGTTGTAGCCCGAAAACCGTACTCCGGATAGGGCTTCTGTACACAAATAAGAACGCCGGTGATTTCGGCGCGAATTCTGTAACGAAGCGAAACTGTGCCGCGCCGATCTCTAAAGTGGAAAGTCACATATCGGATAGGTGTATACATAATATATATATATATATACCGGATTGCTTTTGGTGTTGGCACGAAAAGCAATTCGGTGTAGTGTGATCATCGATCACCTTAGATTAATTCGGATTTACAGTCACAATCGCAATCCTCTTGAATCTACGGAGAACCACTTGATCCCTAATTGCGGAGAAGTCATAAAAGTATTAGAAAATTAACATTTTAATATTCAAACACTTGAGAAGGTAAATCAAATTTACGTTTAATTGGTGCTGATTGAAAGTTTTCAAAAGTTCAGGAGAACCCTGCGCTCGAATTTTAAACTGTACTTCCTTTATGAGAATATATATGGGCATTTGGGCAGTTTGATTTTAACTGGCATGCACTGGAAAAAGCAATCGCCGCCGCAGTCATTTCTAAGCACAAAAAACTATCCCACTGTCTGACAAGTGTTGATCATGATAAATTGTCCTACCAACGAAGACCGAACAATCTACCTATAGACACACTTGATATAGTGAAGAAAAGCGACCAGCTGGGTGACTGAAAAGAAGAACCTTTAGTCTATGATATATCCAGGAAGTTTCTGTCAGTTTGCAACATGAAGGGCGAAGAGTAAAGCAACAATTACGGTTCTCGTTCGCGGTCATCAAAGTGGTCAACAAAAAATGACTGTGGTCACAGCGTCATCAAAGTGATACAAAACAAATGTGGTAGTCACAACAAAGGCGCCGATAATGGAGTAAAACCGTGAGTAAAATAGACTAAACGAAACAAGAAATTGTTGCCTTTTTTGAACCAGCCCCAATCGAAGGTCATCGTTCCTTCTTTTTCGAGTATTTTATTCTTGAAAAGAACAGTGCTTATTATTAAGAAGTCTCATTCCTTGTCAATGACTTACCGCCTGGTTTTCGTTTACTATTCCGTGTCCGTTAGCCGGCGCTTTTATCCTGCGACAAGTGAAAATCTTTCGTAATCGAAATTTGGTTGCTTTTTACGCATGGTTTCACTCGAGAGATCTTGGAAGTGACACAAGAGCAAGCTATTGACATGTCATTGAAAACGTCTCACAGTTGAACGCATGGGAAAACAAGGAAAGAAAATCATCTCTCTCAGTGACCTTAAGCTTCTTTTGTTTAGAAGTCCATTTGGTTTCTAAATTGCTACTTTATTAAATGTTTTTTTTTAACAGGATGAATCCTGTATGAAACGACAGCAAGTGCGAGGCAAATAATCGGGGGTGAGGGGTTAAGACTTGGCCTAAAAAAGTAACAATTTCATCAAGGTCAATTGCTGGTAGAGAATCATTTATACCCACAAAAGGAAAAGGAAGGAAAAGCTTTTTCACAGCCATCAAAAGGGCTTTATCACTTATGTTATGTACCTTGAAAAGGCGGCATTGAAACAACGCTGTCTTACATAAAAAGCCAAAATAATAGGAATTAATCAGCCATGCTAATTACATTTTGATATTTTGATTCGACTTGATAATCCTGAAAACACTTCTACAGTACAGTGTTGTACTTAAATTTGACATTAACTGAGATGAGAGAAAGTAAAAACTGGCCATGAAAGAGACTTTTTGAATTCCATTCCTTCAAAAGACCTGCAGCTCACTGAATGTAGTGAGGGTGCCTTATTTACACTTATTTAGCTTCTTTCATCTCTCCTTTTTCAATTGTTTATGGCAACATTATTTCAATAAGGTGTACTTTCGTGGCTGGATTCGACAAAATCTATGCCGTAGTTTGCTCTTTTGCAAGACGTCTTGCACTCTGCTAGGATCAGTCTCCATCCTTGCGTGTCTCGATGCGCCTGCGGTCCACTCCACCCAACGGGTGGGTCCCCCTTTTGATTGGTCAATAGCTAAGCCCATGCGCCCAAGTGTCGGGAGAAGAGTGCTGGGGACGCATTGAGAAACCCAAGGCTGAAGACTGAGCTTAGCCCTCTAGTGGCTTTTGAGTCTTTGGAGAGGTAAGTAGCGATAAAGTCAGTTAGCGAACAACAGAACAGGTCATCAGACGACGGAAACAAGTTGCGAATAGCCTAAGCAAATTAGTGTGTTGAAAGTGGATCCCCTTCCAAATTATAGATATAGTCCAAAATTGAAAGATGGTGGACTCTCCCCAGCCCAGGAAAGCACTTTTGTTCTAGTCTATAGCTAGTTCTCAAATGATGTTGTTTGGACGTTTGATTTGTAGGTATATTATATTACATCGTGTTGAAACACAAAGGGACAAGGTCAACCAACGACTTTTTTTTTTGTAAAATATCTGTTCGAAGGAACAAATATTGCCTATCCCGAAAATTTCTATAGCATGTAAAAGGCTGGAAATTTCTAGATAACTGTTCCATTCCTGTACTAATCTACGCTATTCGGAGTTTTTCAAATTAATTTTCCTATGACTTTCGGGAATGGATTGTTGGCATATCATTCCCAAAATTCGGTGATTATTTTTTTAAAAAGTCACCCGAAAATTTCGGTATAAAGGAAAATCGTCCCCCTAAAATTTATGGTTATTCCGTGTCCTCGCAGTTTCGACAAGGCGTCGTAAGAGCTAAAACTTTCGAGACGGCCAAAGTTCCCTTAAAACATCCAAACAGACAGATGATATTAAGAGTAGCTCCAAATTAACGAAACAGACTTCAAATGTATAGAGAAATCCATTTTAGACAATTCTTGACTTGCCCCTGAATTATCAAGCTACGCCAGGACGACTTTGAGGTTGGTTGACCGAATTCTCAGAAATAGACTTGAGGTTAGTGAAAAAAAATCTTATTGAAGTTCTCGAGAGCAGGATAAGTTTGAGCTAAGTGACAGTAAAGGATCAAAAAACAGTTTCAATTCCAAAAAATTAGATGCTTACTAAAAGATAGAGATAAATAAGTTTGAATTAGCTAGGTTATGCTAAATACAACAATGAGATACCATTGTACACAAAAGTTTTTCAGAACCCTAGCTGCACAGGTCATAGCAACGCGAACATGTTTCAACGAATCAAAAGTAACCTTAGGGCGTCATCTGTCCCCCATGATTATGCAACCTCACTACCCACTCCTCAAAAAAGTGTCCAGCTGCCTTTAGGCTAAACTTGCAAATATGCTTCATTACGAATAACATACAAAACTCTCGTTATAAAGCATTGTACTCACTATCCGTCTTCTCTCTAGCTAAGCCAGGAGGCAACAGTGAATTTTGAAAATCGGCACAGTCTACAGATAAGTTAGTTAACGCCTGCGTGGCACGCAAAGAATAATTTTTAAGAGAAATGTACAACTGTGTTTTAAAGGTGTGTTTTAAAATTTTTCTTCATTTCCTTCAAAGCAATGTATGATAAATCAATTATTAGAAATGCTTTTTCATAATATTTACCAAAGGCAAACTTAAGAGCAATTAGCAGACTTACAACAACCCACAGCCCGCTCAGTACCTCACGCGCATAGCCATCATTACCCGGGCAGATAGTCGTCGAGCCTCTGTACGGTCGAAGCCGTGTTCCAGAGGCCCTTTACTCCCTTTATTTACCTCGACCTTGAAGGCAATAATTGTTTATTCTTCTCCCTGCCTAAATCTCTGAGTACAAACATTAATGTCAAGTGGAAAGCCTCTCCCTTTTCCAATTATCTCTGTCTATAGTTTTATTGATTTTGACAACAGCGCTAGACAGTGTTGAGGAGCAGCTTTTCCTTCTCCCGTAAGTCGCTTCCAGCTACAGTCAACTGTCTGTAAGAAGGGTGCCTTTAGAAACGGCATTAAGTGTCTGTATTAGAGAGATGTTTGCCTTTTAAAGATTCCTGGTAAAAAGAAGAACGGCAGTGATCAACTTGGTGTCCATTTTAGGAAATTGTTCGCTTTATAGATGTTTCTATTGACCAACACTTTACTTCAGTTTACTCAAAATGGAAACCCAACTTGTTGCAAGAAAACTGAATAAGAGCCCCCGTTGATTAAGCAGCCGGCCTTGGACACCTACCCACCCCTCCCCCCCCCCGCCCACTCTTTTGGCCAAAAGTTTTGAATTAGCGCCAGGAAGCCTCTTCGAGAAACCGAAAGGTGTACTGTAAATATGAGTACAAAAAGCTCACAGCGACGCAAATATAGCTATCATCACTAAGTGATAACGTGTGGATTCCTATCTCCTATATTCTGTCAAGTGATTATCGAAAGAAGCAAAGAAACTTCAACATATTGTTTTGTATAAAACTAGCATCCATTTTTATCACCTGCTTAACTACCTGTGATCTTACCGGTCTTGTTCAGCGGGAAATAACAAACTTATTTCACGAGCGGTAAAATCATAAGCCACCTGTAAACTCACTCGATCAGATATTGTCCCCTGAAGGCTTCAAACTGAGAGTTTTTGACAGCAATGTCTTGAGCAAGCTCGTTGTGTCTTGAGAATTTTTGGAGTAAGTCAAATCTAAGATGGTTTGAAATGCCCGTCAACAGAGATGACAGACCAAAGGACTTAGGATCGGATGACCTCATACAATCCACTTTTAAATGAGATCATTTTCCACTTAAATGACGAGCAAGCGTTCAAGTCGACACTTAACTCGAAAAGCTTCGTTAACAGCACTTTTCAAGTCAAGTGTCGGTTTGAAAGCTTTCTCGCCATTCAGTGGAAAATTTTTCTCACTCATCCAATCCAAACTAATTTGATTATTTTACTGGCATCCGCTCTTCGTTGTCGCAGTAAAAAATATTTCGCTCCGCATTTCGATTCGATTTGGTTGTTCCTCCGAGTTGAAGATTGTTTCGTCCGGTTCCGAAGACATACGACACAAACTCCAAAGAGAGCAACTGAACTAGTTTCTGGCAACAAAATGGGCAAAAGTGTATAAGGGACAATTTTGCATTTGTACCTTTCATAATTTCATACTAACGGATCAATTTAACAAGTACCTGAACGTGCGAAAATCTTTGAAAACATGAGCGGTATTTGCGAAACTGTCTCAACTATAAAACAACGTAAAAGTCGTTTGTGATTCTATCTCGAAGTTACCTGAATCCCTCTTTAAATGATGCATGATTTAACAACTGTATTCGTGAAAAGAATCAAATGATAGTAATTAGTTACACCGCGATTTAATGCACCCATGCCAGAACCGACTTTCGCCCCATAGCGCCAACATTTAGGGCCTCTTAAAGGTTGATATTGTCGCTTTGTTTAAGCAGGTAGTAACATGCGTAAACGAAATGACCCTTAAATTCATGGTACGTTTCTGGAACGACTGTGAATTACTAACGTTTTTTAACCATCCGAAAGTAACGACTACCCAAAAGTAACGGCTACCCGAAAGTGGCGGTCCCTTTGCCTGCTAAATTCGAAAGTAATGGGAGCCGTTACTTCCGGAATTCTTCGGTATTCGAAAGAATAGACGCCCGTGTGCGCGCACTTGACCAGGGCCTCGACTCACTGCGAAAATTTCAGTTTTTAATGGATACCTTTATTTTTTGGGGTAAAACGGAAAAAATATTTCTAAGATTGATATAGAAACAAAAAAAAAAGGATGCACCCCAGAATCAGCAGATTCCGGAAGTAAGATATTCGTGTACCCTGTTCCTAACCAATGTGACTAGCCTGCGAGCAAGCTCTCCCATTTGGGCAAGCGAAGCGAGCCTCGCGAGAACGCGCGAGCGAGGGGCCTCGCGGCTTCGCCGCTCGCTCGCGCGTTCTACAGGAGAGCTTGCTATAGGAGCTATAGGAGAGCTTACTCGCAGGCTACAATGTGACTAATCAGGCTGACAAAAAATGTCCCCTCCAGAATATAAGGCTGGTATTGCCTGTTTCGTTGCTTGCGTAGGTATTTTGGACCGTGTGAATACTTGTAACTTGAACCGAGTGAGTCTGAAGTATGTGTTGCATATAGCTATGAGTACATAGCGGAACCTGCCTGGGTAGAATGTCTGTTGGTTCTCTA